CCATTTTTTTTCCCTCGACTTATCGGCGTTTATTATTTATTATGTTTTGCTTGCCTGGTATTCCCGCCAGTCAGCCGTTTTGTATCGTTACCATTTTATAGGAGCAAACCTTTCTTCAGCAAAACACCGTCCCCGACGACGACAACTGGGAAACATTAATTATACTTGCATTATATACATGCACAACCAAATACGTGCAATCATCTAAATCAACGAGATCATCATTTTTATTCTTCCGTTCTTTTCCAACCAATCCTCATTCCCTGGTTAATGCGTAGCAAATTGTAAATACAGTTGTACCTTTTCTTGTCGATCTTGACGATGTTCTGCTGAAAACTCGTTTCGCACATTGAATGAGTGCGCCGCGAGACTGAGAGACAACCCGGGCAGGCTAGCTGTGTGTTCTATAAGACTTATATAGATGTATTTAACTATTAAGACTACCCGACCGTCGACTTTTTGCAAATTTCCACGGCTCCAAATTAATCAACTCTTATTATCGTTTACTTTTTACTATTATTCTTTGATCGCAATTCACAACAACAACAAAAAATACGAACAACAACAACGTTAGATGGAATCATAAAAATTTCGATCGTAACGCACCTCATAACAACAACAACAATCAAAACAAATTATTATTTCCATAGAGCCGTGCAAGCTTACAAATCGACCGGGTTTAGTTAGTGATGTCAATAAAATATATATATATATATAAATAAAAAAATAATAATATAAATATATACATAAATATACATACGTAGATTTAAGTGGATAACGGTTTTCGAATTGTTATTGCAGTTTCCTTATATTTTTTTCGTATTTATTGAGGTAATTCATCTTTGAGAGCAGCCGCATTGTAGATGTTATCGTGCTACCGTAGCTGAGGGCATTACAATTAATATTATCGTTTCCATTCGATACTTTCGTTGGTATCAAATGTATAATGTAAAGGAATGATGGATAAAACACATATCTCTTAGCGCGTCTACTAAAGGAGCAACTTTATTAATTATTTGTTTTCTTCTATTAAGAATATGCACATTCGCAAGACACAGATCAATCTAGTCCAAAATTAATTTATATTGAACTGGACCAAAACTTTTTCTCTGTCTCCTTCTCCGCATTATGATTATTTTTATCAATATTTTTTTTTTGTCAACGTTTTGGATTCCGCGAGTCCGGAGTCTGGAGAAAAATTTATAATATAATATACTTGAATGTTTAACGTAATCGTCGTGCATAAATCGTACATTCCACTTTTTTTTTGTATAATTTTAATTTTTCTTTGGGTGTAATTTTTAATGAATTTACAAATATATATATATATTAATATTTTCGATTTTGTTAGAATTTGTATTAATAGGATTGTATAAATTCATCCCTATCTATATGTAAGCAATTAATACAAAAAAAAATAACAACATTAAACGCAAATAGCGTTGTAGCAGATTGTATTCATTTATTTTTTTGTTTGACTAATTTTTCGATTTGTATTGAATTTGCAATTAATAAAATCATTTATTTTCTATGTACCTTTTTCCCCCATCGATATTTTCGTTTTATTTATTGTTTATAAATAAATGTTTTTTTCATTCATTCAAAAAAAACTAACGTCTTTATATTTCCTAATCCCATAAAACTACTGCGCATTGATTTCTTTTAAAGTTAATTGTTTGTTACTCGCGCTGCGTCTGCGAGACGTCAGTGGGTACAAAGCAACCATAACTTTGAAAACTGTAAAGGTGGGAAAACCCCGACCTATGTACCTTCTTCATACTGACTGACGATTTGTAAAAGAACATCACATCAGCAAAATATTCTCAGCAGAGTCTATCAGATGCCATGCGTTTTATAATATTTTACTTTATCATTTTTAAGAAATGGGTAAGTTGAGGGATTAACAGCAAAATATTCTTATCGGAGTCTGTCAGACGCCACGTGAGTAGTGATTTTATAATATTTTACTTTACCACTTTTGAGAAATGAGTAATTTGAATTATTAATAGTAAAATATCCTTATCAGAGTCTATCAGACACCACGCGATTAGTGATTTTATAATATTTTTCTTTACCATTTTTTAGAAATGTTTAAGTTGAGGGATTAACAGCCAAATATTCTTATCGGAGTCTGTCAGACGCCACGTGAGTAGTGATTTTATAATATTTTACTTTACCATTTTTTTTTAAATGAGTAATTCGAATGATTAACAGCAAAATATCATTTTCAGAGTCTATCAGACGCCTCGTAATTAGTGATTTTACAATATTTTACCATTTTTGAATAATGGTAAGTAAAGTGATTAACAGCAAAATATTATTATCAGTATGGTAAGTTGAGGGATTAACAGCAAAATATTTTTATCAGAATCTATCAGATGCGATGCGAGTAGTGATTTTATAATATTTTACTCAGCAGAGTCTATGAGACTCGTAAACTTAACATCGCGGTTACTTATTAAATTTCTTAAATGAAGAGTACAATCTAGGGAAATGAGAATGACAAGGGGTAAGCTAATGAATACAGGTTGGGAATCGCTGCTTTAGTAGTTAGTTCATGTTTTTCTTTGCTGACGGTAGATGTCCCTGTCCTTAGTTCTCAGCAAGACAATTGTCTATAGGTTGGGTATAGCTGGTCAGAATGTTGCCAAAAAAAGCATACTTACCTGGCGTAGGGGTTTAACCATGATCACGAAGGCGGTTCCCCCAGGGTGAGGCCCTACCATTGCACTACGGTTTGGGCTGACCCTTGCGATTATCCCTAATGTGGATAACTCGGGCGCGAAATTTTTGGTAGTCGGGACTGCGTACGCGCTATCCCGGTCATTATATAACTTAAACAGAATTAGCAATAATATAAACACACTGCCATTTGCGTTTTGAATTATCATAGAGGACCCGTTTTTTATCTCCAGTGATCAAGCGATCAAAAAAACGCTTCTTTATTGTGCCGTTGTAGCAATAAATTGGATGTGGTGGATCAGTTAGCTTTGTTTTCTTCGGACCCAAACACCTCTTGTGCATACTTTACCAATCTGCTGAAAATGTTCTTAACCAAGGTTGGTTAAGATTGTCTGACACGGATTTGCTTCTACTTCTGCCCTAATGTACTTGGATAAATATCGCAAATGTTGCGTTACTATTCTTGTGAAACTCAAAAAGCATACACTGTAGGATATGTACAAAATTGAAAAAAAGGTTTAATTATATGCAAGTAAACAAGTCACTTTAATGTTAAAATGTCTTTGGCGCGGCTTTGATGTCCACAATGATCTGATAAATGATAAACAAATATTGACATGCGCAAGAGTTGAAATAAATTATTCGTCTTCAATAACTTTTATCTAGCTGTTTGTTAAAACCCTCTACAGAATTCGCATCGACAGAAATATAATATAATTCACAATGACCAATTTCCAACCACGGCAATGTAGTAAATTTACAACTTATATTATTAAGATCAGGTATAATGGTTTAAAAAATAATATAATTTTAAAATTAATATAAATAACTATAACTAATCGGGTCTAATCTAAAATATCAAAAATGTCCGCATGCTCCTCTTTATCAACATTTGATTTCTCCATGCAAGACTTTGTTGATTCGGAAGTAAAATTTGTAAAATTAAAATCTGTTGGAGACTGTTCCACTTGTGTCGTATGTCTTTTGAAATAACTACGTATATTATTGTACATTTTTGTAGCATCTTCTTTGCGATCAGGAATTACGTTCGGTTCGACTTCCTTCGGCTTGAGGGCATCCAAGAAATTGTTGATTTCCTCGTAAGATGAATGAGTCGAGTAGCAAACTTTATATTGTTTATTATGAAGAGTATCACGGTCCGATATAGTTCTCTTATTCTGCCAATTGCTGAAACTCCAAGCGCAGATCTTGATTTGCCTGACGAACTGGCTACCAGCATTAACGCACGTCGATTTCCAACTGTTGCAGTGACAGTGGATTTGGCTGTTACTCGCCTCGAGTGTAATAGCCTTATCCATGCACGGAAAATATTTGTAAACGTCGAATTGCGACTGGTTCACGTGTATCGGAATGTTGACTTGCTTATAAATATCGGTGAAGACGCATTCGTATCCGTATTTGGCAGACGTCGCTAAAACTATTTGGTACTGTTTGCCTCTTTCGATCCAATCCTTGATCAACTTGCAGATCTCTCCGATGCTGTCGTCTCTGCAAGGAAATTTCGTATAACGTTCGAAGAAGAATGTCGTGTCCATGTACATCTTATCGATAGTCTTCACTTCTCCCGTGCTGTAACAGAGAGCTTTCGGTATGCTCTGATTCAATTTCCAACGAAAATCACCGGTATAGAGGATGGTTTTATTCTTTACTTCGAACAAGAACATGACCGAACCAGGACAGTGACTTGCTGGTAGAAGCGTTACAGTCACGGTTTTCTTCGTCGATGGGATTTCAATCATTTGGGAAATCCCGATTTCCAATGGTTTAAATTTATTTTCGTGTTGTGGGTGCATCTCTTTCAGAACTTGGGTGGTGACAGGTGATGAATAGATGAATACTTTATCTTCTGGTAGACGCTCTAATATTTGGAAATTACCGTACGTAGTTAGACCACTCATGTGATCTGTATGTGCGTGCGAAAGGAAGAACGTAGTGGAGGATAAATTGGGTTCCTCAAATCTATCGATGCTAATGCCATCCACCTCATCCATAAATCCAGAAAACGTACTCATTGTAAATCTCTGCAAAACAATATATATTAAATTTATGTAATTTCTTATTCAATCTATAAACTGATATATTCATACTGAGGTATTTCTGTCTAAATATTATTAAATTGTACTTATTTCTGGTATTTTCTGATACATAAAACGTTTTATAATTATTCTAATCTGTGCAATTTAAAGTGAGATGAACTAATATAAAGGAACATGCTAATATTTCAATAATTTCCTCGAGAATCTAACATACTCATTGTAAATCTCTGCAAAACTATATTTCTTGTTGTATAATTTCTTCATTCCAGTTAAATATTCTTTGTAAATTAAATAATCAACTTTAGGGTAGAAAAATTTGATACTTTTGATAAAGTATTTATCAAATGTATTTATTAATAAATAAATACTTATTGTCCATATGAGCCAATGTTATTAATAATAATTACAAAATGTATTAGTACTTGCAACCAAAGAATTCTTTGTGTCCAAATATTTACTGTATTTATTTCTTATATAAAATTACATATTATGGAATTCAATGAACGAATGTAATCCAAAGAAAAAGTCCCTTTTTATGAAATTTTGTGGATTTGTTGAATTCATATTTTGTCATCATTTGTTTCCATTTTAATAATTGGTAATTGATATTTCCCTTGAAAACCTAAATATTCTGCAGAATACTTTTGTCAATGTTTATATTTGACAAAAATTTATATTAGTAATATAAAATTAATATAATTCTTAGTATAGTATATTTTATATATTATGGTACAATTTTTAAAAAAATTGTTTAATATTGGTAACATGTAAATGCTTCAATAACCTAAGAATTTTGGAAAATATTTTTAAATTTTGTCATTCTTTCAAGATGTTTATTTATTTTCAAAGCTTGAGAGCACTTGAAAGTTTCTAACCCAAATAACCTATAGATTTCTATACAAAATAATTTATTATAATTGTTGCTACATTATATTACATATACAATTGAGAATATTGAAAAGATGATGATAATTCCCAGTTTAAGTGCAAATTAAAAACTATAATTTAAATAAACTATAGTAATAAAGAAAGAAGTTATTCGAAATGATTCTAACCTTCAAAAAAAAAAGTAGAATAGCGTCTCCGACCGTTAGGTGGCGTAAAAAGGAAGTAGGCGCGTTGTTTTGGCGGCTGCTGGCATTACATAGAGGTTATTTGTCGGTTAACCTATTTTCGTTGGAGCCCTAAGACAGGAGGACAAAGGCAGGACTTCCACAGACACAGAGCAGCCCCAATTTCAACGTGGATGACTCATCGGAGGTGGATCGAAGCCCTCGGAACTCTAGTGCAGGATCGATTCCAGACATTAACAACAATGCAAACGAGAACGAGCGCCATTTTGGTGCCGTCGAAGTGAAGGTCGAACGCCAATCGTCAAGAAACTTGGTTAGGTTCTAGGATCCTATTACATATTATTTATGTGAGTATCATTGCATTTACACCCATTCCGACGATACATTTTCATTGAAATCATCTTCGAAACGAACCCTTTCCTAGCGGCGACAAATCTTTGCTGGACCACGGAAAAAAAAGTGATGTAATTCCCGTTTTACTCCATTTTCTCGTACGCTGTCGTGTAATGGACGTTCGAAGCGGCGTTCGTTTCACTTGCCGCAGCCACGCACCCCTTGACTATTGACTGCCTGGACTTGGATTAACGCAAAATTACTTTGTTTACATTTTTCAAAACAGTAAACTCCGCTATAACCTCAATTATCCATAACCTCACTTGTCAAAATATCAATAACCTTAAAAATATTGCTATACAATCAATTGGCCCTAATGTCCCTTTGCAGAATATGTCCACCCTAGCACTGCGACAGCATGGCACATGTGTTAATGAGAGGATCCTTGCATTGCTCGCTTAACTCCAATAATTCAACCATCTTTCTAATTAAGTTAAACACTGTAAACCCACTTGTTTATTCAATTATAATTTAAATCATTTCTGAGAAAATATAATTACTTGACTATGTTATCTTGACTAGCTATGTTATCCCAATAAATAGTTTTCAATTTGATCTACATTGAAAGATCAATAGACCAACAATTGATTGGTTGATTCTTCTGACTGTAATTGTTATAAATGTTTCTGCAACTAAATAAACATTGAAATTATTAAATCTTTTTCTATTTTGTTGTTAAATTATAAGATTGATTATCTTTTTTTTTTTAATTTAATAAATACAATTTTATTATTTTTAGGTAGCCTCATTGAAATGATGTGGAAATAGGACGAGAAAAACTAAATAAATATGGAAGAGGAACCGTTCACATTAAGTTGGGAACATGGGGAGGTGGTGCAGACGGAAGAGGTCATCTGCGGTATAGACAATGATAATATGATCGCCACGGAGACGGAGGTGTACGGCGATGTGTGCGAGGAAGTCATAGTGCACAGCGGCGATCCTCAACTGGATGAATTGCAACATGAAGTTGGTGAGGACGGCGTGATGTACTTGACGGAGGAACAGATTCTGGTCATGCAGCAACCACCGGTCACCGGAGACGATTTCCTGGATTGTCAAGTGGCCGAAGAGGTGATTGCCGAGGAATGGACGGACGCATGCGATGAGATCGTTGTTGGTTCCGAAGAGCACGTCGGTGACACAGAGGAACAGCAATCTGATGACGTAATGATTCCTTTGCCCACCGACCAGGACCAGTATTCTGCTTCTAGACCATATCCCTGTGACTTCTGTAGCAGACGTTTTCGCAAGAAAGTTACATTGATGAACCACATGGTTCTCCATCAAACAGACAAACCACACGGCTGCAATCTATGCGGTGTGCGATATGCGCGCAAAGTGGATTTAATGAATCATTTGAAAATACACGCGTTCGTGCCCAATACTGATACCTTGGAGGAAGAGTTACCGGACGATTCAGAAGATTACGATAAGGCGAGAAAGCGTCAAAAACCCAGTTTTTCCACGAAGAAAAAGAAGAATAAAAAAGTAAAGGACGAATATCAAAGTAATGGTAAAGCAGCATCCGGTTCACGACCTTACGATTATGTAAATGAGGATGTACGGCTGATGGAGACATTGGAGAGTAAACCCATAGTTGATTACGCCGAATATTTACCCAGAGAGAACATGGCCAGTGAACCTAGGTATGCAAATCTGTAATAGGTTCTGTTGTTTTATTCTTATTAATTTTGTTTGCTTTTAGGTATCCAATCACAGATCCTAGAAAACCGTTTGTGTGTCAACATTGTGGTGTAGGTTTCGCTAGAGAAAAAGCTTTGGCTTCCCATGCTCGTGTACATGCAGGTGATAGTCCGTTCGAATGTAGGCGCTGCGGCGAGATGTTCTGGGATGCTAATTTAATGCGAGACCATATTAAAAACAAGCACAATGGTGTTGAAGAAGATTTCATGGACGACGACGACGATGATTTCTCTGAAGAGGACAATAAATATGGCGAGTTTTTCTGCTCGTCCTGTGGGATGAGTTTCCATCGTCATGATCTTCTCAAGAAGCATCAGCGTATGCACGTAAAGGAGGAATACAATCAGGAAGATCCGGACTATGCTCATATATGCAATGTTTGTGGTGAATCGTTTAGTGAGGCGTTAGATTTGCTTGCTCACGCCGAAGTACATGCTCGCAGCTCCGATTTCCGGTGTATGATATGTGGAGATCTAAACCCCGATGAACAATCGTTAGCTGCTCACGTTCAATCCAAACATGGCAAATCGCTTCCACCCAATACATGTTTACACTGTGGACGCACATGTCGCGATAAAAACGCACTACTCAAACACGTCTTGGAGCACACCAAGGAGAAGCTCTTCCCTTGCACGAAATGCGAGAAAACCTTCTACAACAAGGCCAGATTAAAAAGACATATGCTCTCGCATAGAAACAAGGTGGTTGCTTGCGACGTGTGCGGAGAGCACTTTGCAGATGGCAGATCTTTGATGAACCATCGGCACAGTCACAGTAGCGTATCAGGTAGACAATTTCCATGTCGAGAATGCGGTAAGACGTTCGGTTCTCGCAGTTCTCAGCAAATTCACATAAGAATACATACCGGAGAGAGGCCTTATGGATGCAGATTTTGCTGGAAAGCATTTGCTGATGGCGGTACTTTGAGAAAACATGAGAGAATCCACACCGGGGAGAAGCCATATGCATGCGCCGTATGTCCTAGAGCATTCAATCAACGGGTCGTTTTAAGGGAACACATCCGTTCCCACCATTCTGGTCCGGATCCAAACTACACTCACAGTATGACTCCATACTGCTGCACCGTCTGCTCGGACATGTTCACCACATCTCAGGATTTGATTGTGCATCTCATTCACCATTGTGACTTGAATACGGCCATGAGGCGTCAGCCTCAGATCGGTCCGCGCAAGTACAAACGAAGACGCAAACTGAAGCCGCATGAATTGGAACTGATGAGTTCTAGTATGGGCGTGGAAGATGTTGAGAATAATATAGCATACTCTGAATCGGACGATGAGGAGAAGAAGAAGAAGCGGAAACAGCGAAAGAATTCAACCAAGTCTACGGATGAACCGTACAATGATATGTACAGCGGTTTTTCATCAACGATGGAAGCTCCGACTCCGGCAGCTAATGCGAAACCCGTTAAAGCTAAGAAAAAGCCAAAGGAGGCGGCGCCTCCATCCAGACCGAAGATGATCCACACTCAGAAAACAAAAGTGGCTGTGGAAAGCGCGGAAGGTGGTAAGATGCGACACAAGACGAAGACCTTGGTCACACGTACGCAGCCCACCGAACTGAAATCCTCGACCGGCGATCGAATCCGGCCGCGCACGAAGAACGTCAGTTACCACATCTTGAATCCAGAAAAGTTACCATTGGCCACATTCCCCGACGACGACACCGAGCAGGCAGTGAACAGCTTATTGGAGAACGAAAGTCCAGAGATGAACGGTCTTTCGGATGATCTCTCACCAAAGATTAACAAAGGTAATAACAGTTTGGCCCCGGGCCGACACATCATCGGCCCCGGGCAGATAGTAAAGTTCGTTAAGAGCGGTATGCTTATCTCCAAGAAGAAAATCAAATGCGAGATCGTGCCGGAGGAGACCGTTATCGAGGAGATGGTCGACAATACGGTGCACATCAAGCAAGAGAACGACAATCCTCTTAACGAACTCGCAGAACTATCCATGCAATACGCGCAGAACATGTTCAAATGCGAAATGTGCAGTGAAAGTTTCTCTGACCGCGCCCAGCTACTCGTACACGTGCCTATCCACATTTGATCTTAATTCTATTCCCATTCTATATAATCTGCGTATCGAACTAATTTACACTGCTGGCAGGAGAAATCTATATTATTCAATCGGTCAATTCTCTTATCATTTTAAATATTCGTTCTTGCTTTACTATTCATTCATTTTCTTTGCGCGAATTCAACAACCGTCTATAAATTTATTATTGTTATTATTTTTATACATTATTTGAGAAAAATTTCCGTGCAGATTTCAGGGTTTCCGATGAAGACTTATTATATATTCTGGGGTTAATGTAGAATGGATTCCAAAGCCAAATACGATTGAAGGATGTTTCCGAAGCGGAATACAAAACTTAAACACTAAAACTCGTAGTCCCGATTTAATTTCAATTAAATCAATCAATAATAAAAAAAAAGACATGTTATATCGTTCGACTGCTTTTATTCACCTTAATTACATTGTAAATTTCTTTTACTTACTGAATACTATAATTTTTTTTTATATAGATTGATTTATTTATGACGATAGGGCACATTTTGATATCATATTCTGATTGTAATTTGTTATTTCAAAATGGGAATGGAATTCGTTGTTTTGTCGGGCAATTGAAAGTCGGTGGCGTTGCACAAACGTTTCTTTGCATCGGGGGAAAGAGATATTATATGGAAAACGAGTATTTAATAATATTAAAAATGAATAACGTATGGACCACACTTTAACGAAAACTGAATGTAGCATTGATTAAGCTTTATCTTTACTGTTTAGTTAATAATGCATTGTGCATTATGTGTATCATTCTCTATAATGTTTTTTTTTGTTGTGCGCGGGGCATTTAATTTGGTGCCATACTTGTAGGACTTTCTTTACTTTTTTTGTACATAAACTGAGAGAATAAAAAAAATCAATTAATGCTTTAAGAGAAATAAAAATGAAGAGAAAATGTAATTTTTGCAGCACTTATAAGAAGTGTGGATTGATTTAGTTTCGAAAGCTATAAACTATTCTGTATATGTTTGTTTTTTTGTAATATTCAAAAATTTTGTATTAAATTTGTGCATACTTAGAATTAAACTATAAAGAGAATAAGGTTTGTTTTTAAAAAAATGAAAAAATATATATATATTATATACACATTAATGTGTAAAGTACTGTTAACTATATATTTTTATATCGTTTCTGCAATGGAATTATTACGTTTGTTTCTGTAAAATTGTAGGCACATTTGCATTTTTTTTTGTTTTCACCAACTAAATCTTGTAATTGAATTATTGTTTATAGCTAATAATTGCAATTACTTTATTATAATAGTTTTTTTTTCTTTTCTTTCTTTTTTCCCATCTGTTTAACGACCATAGTTGCAACAATTTGTATTTACATTGCTAGTTATGATTATATAATACGAATTCTTAGTTTATATTGTATTTTAGAGAACTGTATTACCTATATGTGTATATATAAATATATGTATAATGTGCAAGGTGATTTAACATGAAGCAATCAATCACTCTGTCTTTTATTTGATGGTAATAAATAAATCAGTTAACTATTAACGATTTTATTTTATTAATTGTACAAAATTTGAGGAAAAAGACTACAACCTCTACTCTAATTGGAGCCAAATAAAAATGATGTAAATAAAATATTTATTTTAAATTTTACTAAAAAATTTCTTACACTGATTTCAAGATTTATTTGAAAATCTGCACTGTTTTTTTAAAATATTTGCTTTCGTTTAGTACTACTAAATACAGTGGAACCTCGCTTAACGAGCAAAATGACTCTTAACGTCGCTCGTTTCGTGTGACGATTGGAAGAGAAGTCCAAGATTGCGCGCCTGCTTCATCATTTTTAAAACTTGTGTACACATATTATGTGTATTTTTGAATATGTTTCACTATACGAGTAAAAATCCGGAAATTTTGGAACGGATTAAACGAGGTTCCACTGTACATCGTTTGTGAACAATTATCAAGAATTTAATTAATGAAACAGCAGTTTCACTTTACTGTCCACAACTGTGGAAAATGACCAAACATTTCGGTTTTCAACAGGAAATTAGGAGTAGCAAAGAGGTATTTGGTCAAGAATACTAATTGCAGACGTGTATATTTGGTAGCAAACATATAAAAGTTATGTAACTTTCGAGTTGTTTAAAAAAAATAAAACTTGTTAAAGCAAAACAAGTTGCATAACGCTTTTCCGCATCTAATTATGCAATAAAATAAGACAAAAGTCCTGTTGAAATGTCCTGTCCTGTACCATTCGAATTCGATGCTACAAAATTTTCAGCAAGCTCAATCGAAAGGCAATGGTCACCAGTTTACGATTCTTATTGAATTATGTAATTATCTTGCCTGTATCATGAAATTTATGAAAACATGCAGATGCTCCTTTTCTGCAACTACACATTTGCTCAGAACAGATAATAACACAAAGCTATCAGTAGAAAACGCATGTCTTTTATATTTAATTTACATATTTGATGATGTAATTTGCTTGCATGATTGTTAAGTAATTTAAGAAAACTTTTCTATATACAATGTTGCCTGTAGTGACCGCAACCAAACATACACAAAACTTATATATTTGCCTATAATTATGTAGCCTATATGAAAAATTGTTTAAAAATCGTTACATTTTTATATATTTCAAGTTGTATAATGTTGCATTTCATCTTATTTAATGATAAAATGTGAAAAATTGTTGATTTTATTTTTCGAATTATTAACACAAAAAGGAAAATCTCAATCAAGTTGTGTTTCTAACAAAATTTCACAACTTTTTTCAATATCAAAATATTAATGCTAGAATGTTATATTATGATTAAAATAAAAATAATCTTTCTTTGACTGTTAAGGAAGTTTTATTCTTTAAAATTGAAATAGATTAATTTACAGTCCAGTGTTTTCGTTGATGAAGTCGCGCATTTCTGGAACGCTGGAGTAGACACCTGGGTAGTCGGGACGGGCGCATCCCATACCCCAGGAAACGACACCGACGAGTTTACCATCGACGACCAATGGGCCACCAGAATCACCCTGAAAACATTAACAAATAATTAGTAAGAATCAACCTTAAGAATTGTCTTTGCGTTTAATTACTTGGCAGGCGTCTTTGCCACCTCCGGGAACTGCGGCGCAGATCATGCGGTCAGTTACTGGAGTGCCCGCGTAAGCCTCTTGGCAGTCCTCCTTGCTGACGATGTTAACCTTCACGGCTTGGAGTTGGGATGGGGAAGATCCACCTTCTTGGAGTGCACCCCAACCGGAGCAGACAGCTTGGGAACCTTCTGGAACGGCTTCCAAGAACTCGGGCAATGGAACGGTCTTGATGCCAGATCCCAATGGAAGTGGCTGTTCCAGTTCCAAAAGGGACATGTCGAAGTCAATGTTCCATTGGTCGTATTGTGGGTTTTGAAGAATCCTCTTGACTTGGACGACGACGCCTCCGGATCCCTTGATGGAGGAACCAGCGCGAACGCTCAAATCTTGAGCAGAAGATCTGCATATTGGGTATATTGAATTACAAAACATCTTCTTTAGAAAAGTTTCTTATAGATTACCCATCGGTGCAGTGAGCAGCAGTAACGGCGAACTTTTCGCTGATGATGGAAGCACCGCAGATATGGCTTCCGTAGTAGAGCAGAGACAATTGGTATGGGTAGTCTTCGATGTTGACGGATTCACCGCCGACGATACGACCATCCAACTGCGGAATCCTAGGATTTGCAGCTAAATAACAAAAAAGAAATTTAAATTTAGAGAAAATTCAATTTTTCTTTAAATATTACCAGAAGTTGCAGCTACGAGAGCAGATACTAAAACAAACTTGAACATTTTGTTTACTGTGATTTAAATTTTTTGCGAGTTTTTCCTTTTATACCAGAGCTGAATGATGTTGATGATTATGCGATATTCTATCAGGATTACGTGTTGGAATTTCAACTTAATTAAGGGTTTAATTATAACTACCCAAATCAAATTTATTGTTGTCCACGTAAACATAACGTGAACAAAAATAAATTTTGTTTTTGATTGAGATTAGATATTTACCAAAAACATTTGTTTTTATCATACGTAAATTATTGTTATAAACTTAGACCTAAAATACTCAAAATATATGCGCAAATTAATTGATTTTCTAATATAATTAGAAATAAAAGTACTTCATATATTATACATATTATAGTTACGAATTATCAATAATAACAAACTTGTAAGAATTTAATGTATGATAAAACCAAATATTTTTGCTACATATCTAATCGCGACGACCGATCTCAAAATCCAAAATAAAATTTATTTTTAGGCCAATGTTTTGTTGTTTTTGGGTAGTTTCAATTAAACCCCTAATTAAGTTGAAATTCCAACACGTAACCTGATACAATATCGCATAATCATCACCACCATCATTCAGCGCTGGTATAAAAGGCAAAATTCGCAAAAATTTTAAATCACAGTTAACAAAATGTTCAAGTTTGTTTTAGTATCTGCTCTCGTAGCTGCAGCTTCTGGTAATATTTAAAGAAAAATTGAATTTTCTCTAAATTTAATTTTTTTTTTGTTATTTAGCTGCAAATCCTAGGATTCCGCAGTTGGATGGTCGTATCGTCGGCGGTGAATCCGTCAACATCGAAGACTACCCATACCAATTGTCTCCTCTTACTACGGAAGCCACATCTGCGGTGCTTCCATCATCAGCGAAAAGTTCGCCGTTACCGCTGCTCACTGCACCGATGGGTAATCTACAAGAAACTTTTCTAAAGAAGATGTTTTGTAATTTAATATATCCAATTTGCAGATCTTCTGCTCAAGATTTGAGCGTTCGCGCTGGTTCCTCCATCAAGGGATCCGGAGGCGTCGTCGTCCAAGTCAAGAGGATTCTTCAAAACCCACAATACGACCAATGGAACATTGACTTCGACATGTCCCTTTTGGAACTGGAACAGCACTTCCATTGGGATCTGGCATCAAGACCGTTCCATTGCCCGAGTTCTTGGAAGCCGTTCCAGAAGGTTCCCAAGCTGTCTGCTCCGGTTGGGGTGCACTCCAAGAAGGTGGATCTTCCCCATCCCAACTCCAAGCCGTGAAGGTTAACATCGTCAGCAAGGAGGACTGCCAAGAGGCTTACGCGGGCACTCCAGTAACTGACCGCATGATCTGCGCCGCAGTTCCCGGAGGTGGCAAAGACGCCTGCCAAGTAATTAAACGCAAAGACAATTCTTAAGGTTGATTCTTACTAATTATTTGTTAATGTTTTCAGGGTGATTCTGGTGGCCCATTGGTCGTCGATGGTAAACTCGTCGGTGTCGTTTCCTGGGGTATGGGATGCGCCCGTCCAGACTACCCAGGTGTCTACTCCAGCGTTCCAGAAATGCGCGACTTCATCAACGAAAACACCGGATTGTAAATGAATTTGTTTCTATATTAAACAATAAAATCTTCTTAACAGTTAAATAAAGAAATATTTTTATTTCAACCTTTGTATCAATCTCATTTATTAACCAAATTCACATATACATTTTAAAATGAATTGATAAATTTCTTGTTTCTTCCTAATAAAATAAACCAATAGTTAACACATTCAATTTTTACTTTCTCAGTTGTTCATACAATTTGCACATGTAATCAATAACTGATTCTTCAAATAATTGAAAGAATAAGCTCATTTGATTCCCTACTAATAGAATAATAGCTTAAAAATCATTGAGTTTTAGACGATCTGCTCAGTAAAAGAGAGTACATTTTATATTTTCTTATAGAATTATTATATAATCGTCTTTACAAAGCTGTTGATTTTATTTTTCATTTCTTTGGATGGTGTTATTGCAAAAATGTCTCTATTGCACCTATCCTCGTTCTTTGATATGACTTAACAATTATCAAAGTATAATTTATATTGAAAACTAATTTTATTCTCTGGCTAAAGGTGTAGCAACTTTGCCTTATTTTGTTTCATATTTATCGTTTGTCTTGGGTTGTTTTCCTTGATAGACCTTAAAATGAACTAAGTATACACATGGTAATTAGTCACCATATCTTATATTCAAAGCGTATTGATTTAACCACTATACATTGTTTGCAACTATGTCGAGCAAAATAAGCTCTCCATTCTCTCATCTAACTGTTCTTATTGGAATTCTTATGGATCTCTCGATTCAATATGAACGTTGAACTTGGTATTCAGATAAAAGTAATATGATGAAGAATACTTTTAATTCTTCATGTGAAAGACGTAGATTTCTACATCGAATATCTATTAGATTCTAATACAATCAAATCTGTGATATCCTCATTTTCTTCAAATGTTTGCAAGATTGTTGCTTTTCTATAATTGTATTCTGGAAACATTGAACAGCTTCGAACAAATCTTCAGTTTTCAATGAAAACTTTTTAGTTTTTTTGTAGCTTGTTCTTCTTTTCGATATTGATTTAAACTTGACTTAGTAAACAGATTTAAGATGGTTCAATAAAAATACTTTCTACCCTCTACATTATCCACTTCAAACCACTAAAAACAAAGTAAAAGTACAGATTTTGAAGTCAATATTCCATAAATATGAAATTCAAATAAACAATGGTTTATTTTTGTATCATGGTTTGCTGGATTTATAAAACGTCTGTGATAAGTTGAAGAACTATGTGACAAGACAATGTTTATATAACCATTTGTTTGCTAAATACGCACGGCGTTAAAAGATTAAACTTGTATTTAATTGGATTATTGTCAAAATTAATTGATTTTATAACAATGTATAGGCAACCAAATGTACACGAACTTTAAAAATAAAAATTTAAATTCATAAAGATTAATAAAAACGAAAATATGTTCATGGCAATATTAAAAAAAAATTATATTGTCAGGCAGAAATACATATGGTCAATAGCCATTTTCAGCAGTTAACTTTATGTTTTATTATTATATGAAAATGTTTATTTTTTGTATTTTTGTAATAAATATTCTCATTCTTACTTAATAGAAAGACTTAATTAAAAAAAATAGTAGTAATTTGGATAGAGATATTTTCAGTAGTTTATGCTTCTTTTGAAATAAAATGCTGTGGAGAAAAGTATCTATATTGTCGAAGCAATCATAAATCAAGAAAAATATTTTTTTAGATGATTTTGTTTTGATACAGGATTGTTTTTAAGTGCACTTTGAGATTGTACACTTGAAAACAATCGAATTTGACTTACTATCTCTAGATTTTATGAATGAAATGATGCATTTAATATTGTGCATAAATATGTAATTGATTACAATTAATTCAAATTGAATTTTATAATTATAAACAATTAATGTTAACTTAACTTAAAAAATCAATAACAACAGTTTTACAATCAAAACGTTGTAGTAAAATATGATAGCATTCAAAATATTTATTAAAATTAAAAAACAATCGACTAATAAAGTTTAAAGTTGTTTCCTTCAAATTAAATTTTTGCATAATCAATTGTTGTTTTTCACTGTTACTTGTATATTTAGTACCTTTCTGATAAATCTAATCGCCTTCGCGAGTCCACAAATTAATAACAGAAAAAAAAATCTATTTTCGGACATCAACCGATAGTTGATTCTGGAGTTTAGATTCGATGCGATAATGTAAGATAAAAACTGAATTTAGAGTATAAAAGGAACGCATTTGGCATCTTGCAGAGTATAGCAAACAAACATGTTCAAGTTGGTCCTAGTATCTGCTCTTGTAGCCGCGGTTTCCGGTAAGACTATACAATCATAAATATTGGATTAAATTAATAAATAATGTTTTAGCTGCGAATCCCAGGATTCCACAACTCGATGGTCGCATCATCGGAGGCCAAGATGTCAACATCGAGGACTACCCATACCAATCGTCTCTTTTGTTTTTCGGTGGCCACGTTTGCGGTGCTTCTATCCTCAGCGACAGGTTCGTCCTGACCGCCGCCCACTGCACCCAAGGGTAAGTAATGAAACGGTTTTAAGTGAAGACAATTTGAAATGTTTATATTTTTAGATCTACTCCTAATGAATTGAGCGTCCGCGCCGGATCTTCCCACATGGGAACCGGAGGCGTCGTTGTCCAGGTCAAGACGATCTTGACAAACCCACAGTACGACCCATGGACCGTCGATTACGACATGACCCTCTTGGAATTGGAAGAACCTCTTCCATTGGGTCCCGGTATCCAGACCATCGCTTTGCCAAGATCTTCTCAAACCGTGCCTGTAGGTTCTCAAGCCGTCGTCTCCGGATGGGGCGTTACCGAAGAGAATGGCCCAAGCTCCCTGCAACTCCAAGCTGTTAACGTGAACGTCGTCAGCAGCCAAGACTGCCAAGAATCATACGGAAGCACCCCAGTCACCGAACGCATGATGTGCGCCGCCGTTCCTGGAGGAGGAAAGGACGCTTGCCAAGTAATTATACACCTTAATCTCATAATCAAGACAGATTATTAATTTACATATTTGTTTCGTTTCCAGGGTGATTCTGGTGGCCCATTGGTTGTCAACGGTGAACTCGTCGGTATCGTTTCCTGGGGAACCGGATGCGCTCGTCCCGAATACCCAGGAGTCTACGGCAACGTCGCATCCATGCGCGACTTCATCACCGAAAACACCGGTTTGTAAATCTAAACATTTTCAATAAACACAATTCCTTATACTCTTTATTCATTCATTTATATACCTTTAATTTTTAATATTCGATACTTCAAGCTCCAGTTTATGAAAACTTTAAACCGAAAAACATCATTCTTACAATCCCCGTTCTCTTAATTCCTTCCTACAAACATTTCTTTACGGAATACATATATTCCACGCAAAACATTTTTTGGTCATTGGGAATCACTTTAGAAAATGTTCGGATCCAAATCCCGACAACCGAATTCACGACAGTTTTAAAATCCCGACAGTATCTTTTATTAAAAATGAGCGTTATTGCTTACTACTTGAATAAAAAAAAGAACATCGATATTCTATTCTTTAGAGTAAAAAGCTAAATTTAAACTATATAGTTAATTAACCATTACATTCATCAAGATTCTACGGCAAAGTTGAATGAGAATTGCCAAAATCCGCTCAGATATTCGGGATTTTGATACTGTCGGGATTATGGTTGTCGGGATTTTTAAAATTATTATAAATTGTTTTACATAAAAGTCTAATGCACACTAATTGAACAAATCTAAATAAAAACATCATAATTTAATTTTAAGAAAGAAGGTTGTAAATACACTGGTTTAGCAGAATAAACAATTGAATACAATCAACACAATTTTTAAATGACGGGAACATGAGCATCTGTCCTTGGTAATCCTTTAATTCTTATTACAATAATCCCCATTAGGATTTGTCAGTTTCTAAAACCGGATTTAGGAAAACCGGTTTAATTTTTCATCAAAAAACCGGTTTTTCAGGCTAGGCTAACTGCACTTGCCCGGACTCAAGTAATGAAGCTTTTCGACTAATATATTTTTTGTCTGCCGTTTGAAAATAAGAAAGAAATCTAATAAAATATGTCTCAAATATGTAAACACAAACATCTGGTAAAGATCTCTTTCTACTCTTCGCCAAAAAAACGTCCAGTTATCCAGTAGGAAGAAATTTTACAACGTAAATAACTTCGGGTACTACTAATGAATGCAACGTTTGTGCAGGTAACAAATGAGAGAATATAGTCTATTTCTTCACATTTTCTATCCAAATCTGTTTGTCCTTATACATTCCTTCTTTTCAAAATCATATTTTCTGAGAAAAAAAAATAAGAAATAAAACAATATTTTAGATTCATTAGATAAATGACTCCGTTATTCATCTATCTGTATGGTTTTCTATGGAGTAAATTTGATTTACTTATAGTTTTATGTTATAATATATCAAGTTTTTAAGTTATGTTTTGTGAGATTTTATTTTCATATATTTTTTAATTTTGTATAAAGTTAACTTTATAAAAAAAGAAAATAAATTGTAAAAATACTTTTGTCCCTATTTTTATGGGAAAAAAATTCGAAAACCGGTTTTTTAAACAAATTGAATTTAGAAAACCGGTGTTTGTATAAACTAATTCTAATGCAACGTCGAATTTGAAGAAAAATCTGAAATTAGGATAGGAACAAAGACGAAAAAATACACACAGACAAATTCTACTATTTTTTTTTGCCATGATTCTTTATTATTATTATTAAATCGAAAAAATAAAGATGAAACAACAAATATCATTTATTCATCGAATGGAAACAGATTACTTCTTTTTTTTCTTTCTTTCATTAATTTTCATCATATTTTTTTTTGTTATATTATTATATATATTTCGAATCTCTTCCTGGAAACTTAACTTATCTTAGAAGAAAACCACGAACGAACATATAGATTGAAAGGCACGAACAAGTTTCGAAATATTCCACAAGCTCCAACAAAAAAATGAAAAGAAAAAGTAATGTCACCATGAATGAAGCACACAATACATGTTATTATTATTATAATTAATTCGCTTTAATTTCATTACGAAAAAAAGAACAATAATAAATATAATAATAATCATATAGAGAACAAATAAAACACATCCATACACAGTAATATTTCCTTAAACCGCATCCACAAGAAGACAGGAAGAATGCACGCTCAAATATAATATTTATATCATAATTTTCACTATCTATTATATATTTATCTGTGACCATTTGATTCACAAATTATTATTTTTCTTTTCATTTTTTCCCCTAAAGGTTTTCGTGACAAATCCAAACAGAGAGAACAAAAACAAAGTTTAAAAAAAAAAGTACATTTGCGTGTAAGATCAATTAAAATTTATTATTATTTTTTTCTTTAATTATACACAATAAGTTAATACGATAAATTTGATAATAATAATAATAGGCGACAACCAGGAATGTTTTGGAAAAAAAGCCATTGAATTCTTCTCATCTCATCTTCTTAAATAAGTTTCTTCCTCTTATTTGGAATTATTAAACAAAACCGACACCGATAAACTTGATTTTTTTTTTACAGAGCACAGGGAAAATATTCAGCAAAATATGATCTCACGTCGATGACCTCTTCCTGCCAAAACATCAGCCTCTTCGTTACCCAGGATACCCTGGTGGTTGGGCACCCAACACAACACCACAGCTCCCCCATCCGTTTCCATATCTCTTATCTGCGTGCGTATTGCCACAACCCAGTGGTTCGCTTTAACTGTCGTTGATTGGCTGGTGATGGCATCAATAGCACTCATCGAATCCGTGATTATCGCCACTCTCCGTTTCTCATGGAATTGTGTCAATCGTAGGGCTCTGTGTATCGGGTATAATTCCGCCGTGTATATCGACGCTAGCCCTGGCAATCTCCGGAATGTAAATACCGAAGGAGACAGATCAAGGTGACTCTAATAAGGATCCGTCTGTATATGCCTCAGTCAGATATCGGAGAGAAGCACCTCTGAATTCCTCGAATGCTTTGTTAATAAGCCAGTCGGAGTTAGCGAAATCTTCCTTGCTATACGGAAATTTCAGTGATTTTATGCGGTGCGTAACGTCTTCCAATGGTGGGGCGAAGATATTTTTTTATGGCTCTCTTATCCACAATTGTTCTGAACGTTTCCGTATCTCTCCACGCCTGAATCAGAAGTGGGATTCCCTTAGCTGGCCAAAAAGGGTTTTGTTGGAACTCCGATGCTGCCCTGTCGACGAGCGGGCGAGCAGCTGAAGGTGGGCTTGCTCTACACTTTACGCAATAACGTCTCGCCAATTCGGCTCTTCTAATCTCCAATGGAAATACGCCTGTTTCCACGTGCAATACAATCAGTGGGGTGGAGCTCAAAACTCCAATGCAGATTCTCAGACATTGATTTTGTATTCTGTCCAGTTGGTCGAGTAGCGCCTTTGCACAGAACGAGTAGAGACCACAAGCATAATCAAGCCTTGAGCGCACGTAGCCACGGAAAAACATTAGCAAAGTCCTGGGGTCGCTTCCCCAGTCAAGCCCGGACAACGCTCTCAGGATGTTAACACCTTGGTAGCATGACCTGACTAGCGACCCGATATGATTTCTCCAGCATAGTTTGTCGTCAAACCAAATTCCCAGAAACTTGTACGCTCTCACGTACTCCACACCGATGTTTCGAACCCGAAGGAGTGGAAAAGTTCTGACTGTTTTCCTTGTAAATCCCATGGCCATGGTTTTGCTGGGTACTATGGCAAGTCGTTTTTCCGTCAGGAATTCATCTATGTTGCTGAGCGATTGGTTCAACTGATTCGCTACCACGTTGATGTTCTGTCCGGTACCAATCGGCATATGCCATGAGTCTAGTGCTGCCCACGGTTGTCCTGTGGATGTCATGAATAAAAATGTTGAACAAAAGTGGACTTAATGGACTCCCCAGCGGCAATCCCATATGCGTGGACCTAATGTCGACCGGTGGTTGTGCGCCAACTAGTTGCAGTCTTCTCTCTCTGGTTAGTGCAATAATTATATTGACTAACCGAGGAGGGAGCTGGAGGCTCGAAAGTTCTCCCATCAGAAGGCTCGATGTTACGTTGTCGTATGCGGCTTTGATATCCAGGAACACAACAATTAGATCCTCCCCAGCGCGAGCGCTCGATAGATTTCCGCTGCCAATCCATAAATATTATCCAACGTGCTCCTACCCCTGCGAAAACCTGCAAAAGTAGGTTCAAATACGTTATTAATTTCGCACCAGCGGTCTAGACGCTTTTTAATAATATTCTCAAAACTCTTTCTTATACATGATAAAAGAGTGATCGGTCAGTAAAATCGGAACTATGTACGCCTCCTTCCAAGAGTCTGGGATATCTCCCGACGCGAGCACCTCGTTGAATCGCCTAACCAACGATTCCTTCCCCCTGATCGACAGATTTTTCATCATAGGATATGAAACCCTATCCGGACCAACCGCTGTGTCTTTGGTGTGTTTTATTGCTAGTTCAAATTCAGCGAGCGTGAGGGGTTTGGTGAGATCGTGGTGTGTAGTCATCTCCGGTAGTAAAACGATCTCCGGTTCTACACTTGGAGGAGTGAGTGCAACAAGAAAATATTGCCTCCATTTCTTGTCACCGTTCTCCAGTGGGTTCTCTATCGGCGCTTTGCGATTGAAACTTCTGATCTTCCTCCAAATACTAGCTGCTGATGTCTCCCTACTAATAGATTCACAGAAGCTCCTGAAGATGGCCATCTTCTTTTCCTTCAGAAGTCTTTTTGTTTCCGCCATCTGGTGTTTTGCGGCTAACAGATGTTCGAATCTCTTAGTTTGGTGGTAAATTCTTAGTAATCGCTTCCTCTTGGCAACTGCACGACTGCAATCTTCGTCCCACCATGGGCATGGCGGTCTGCTACTATTTTGTGTACATTTTTTCCCTTCCATGATAGCTGCCAGTTGCACCATCTGTACCGACAGAGCTTCCAGTGATGTGTTCTCCTGTACCGTCTCGTTCAGCGAATGCGTGTAATCGTTCCAGTTTATCCTTTTGGAATTTATCCTCGTCCCAGACCTCCTAAGTCTACTAGGCTTTGCGAGTCCTGAGTTGTAGCTTGCCATTAGCGGATAATGATCACTTCCAAGGGTGTCCTCGGTTGTATAGGAAGCAGTGTTAGCAGATGCGGTTCCTGAGGCGAGCACCAGATCAAGAACACTGGATGATAGGTGAGCAATGTGTGTCGGACGCATATCATTCATTAATACTAGTCCGAATTGATCTATAATGACTGCCAGTTCTTGTCCGTTTCTGTTCGCCCGTACATGTCCCCCAGTGAGGGTGATGTGCGTTGAAGTTTCCTAACAAGAGGTAGGGACCTTCAATATCCTCCAGTAGACGGCCCCAGCTGGCTCTGTCCATAATAACGTTCGGAGGGATGTACAGCGATATTATAGTCAAATCTCCGATGCAGGCCTTTACGAACTGGGCGTTGGGGGATGCAAAAAGGATGGTATGTTGCAACCCGCCTTTAGACCCTTCCGTACTAGTACTGAGACTCCCCCCTTTCCGTCTGGTCGTTTATTATGGAAGGCGTCAAAACCTGGAGTTGTGATATCTACTCCGGGGCGCAGCCACGTTTCACCAACAGAGATAATGTCAGCTTCAAGATTTTTAGCTGCGTTCAATAGGTCGTGGAGGTTCGTATTGAGCGATCTAGCGTTCCAGCTAAAAATCTTCGCTCTCCACTTCTGTGTATACATTATCTTTTATCTTGTGAGTTGGGGTAAATTGTAAGATGGCTGCGATTTGTTTGATTGCCTCAGCGAGGCGCGAGTTGTGTTTGAAATGTCCTTTCTGATAAATCTAATCGCCTTCGCGAGTCCACAAATTAATAACAGAAAAAAAATCTATTTTCGGACATCAACCGATAGTTGATTCTGGAGTTTAGATTCGATGCGATAATGTAAGATAAAAACTGAATTTAGAGTATAAAAGGAATGCATTTGGCATCTTGCAGAGTATAGCAAACAAACATGTTCAAGTTGGTCCTAGTATCTGCTCTTGTAGCCGCGGTTTCCGGTAAGACAATACAATCATAAATATTGGATTAAATTAATAAATAATGTTTTAGCTACGAATCCCAGGATTCCACAACTCGATGGTCGCATCATCGGAGGCCAAGATGTCAACATCGAGGACTACCCATACCAATCGTCTCTTTTGTTTTTCGGTGCCCACGTTTGCGCTGCTTCCATCCTCAGCGAAAGGTTCGTCCTGACCGCCGCCCACTGCACCAAAGGGTAAGTAATGAAACGGTTTTAAGTGAAGACAATTTAAAATGTTTATATTTTTAGATCTACTGCTAATGAATTGAGCGTCCGCGCCGGATCTTCCCACCTGGGAACCGGAGGCGTCGTTGTTCAGGTCAAGAGGATCTTGAAAAACCCACAGTACGACTCATGGACCGTCGATTACGACATGGCCCTCTTGGAATTGGATTTTCCTCTTCCATTGGGTCCCCGTATCCAGCCCATCGCTTTGCCAAGATCCTCTCAAACCGTGCCTGTAGGCTCTCAAGCCGTCGTCTCCGGATGGGGCGTGACCGAAGAGAATGGCCCAAGCTCCCTGCAACTCCAAGCTGTTAACGTGAACGTCGTCAGCAGCCAAGACTGCCAAGAATCTTACGGAAGCACCCCAGTCACCGAACGCATGATGTGCGCCGCCGTTCCTGGAGGAGGAAAGGACGCTTGCCAAGTAATTATACACCTTAATCTCATAATCAAGACAGATTATTAATTTACATATTTGTTTCGTTTTCAGGGTGATTCTGGTGGCCCATTGGTTGTCAACGGTGAACTCGTCGGTATCGTTTCCTGGGGAACCGGATGCGCAGATCCCGAATACCCAGGAGTCTACGCCAACGTCGCATCCATGCGCGACTTCATCACCGAAAACACCGGATTGTAAATCTAAACATTTTCAATAAACACAATTCTTATACTCTTTATTCATTCATTTATATACCTTTAATTTTTAATATTCGATACTTCAAGCTCCAGTTTATAGATATTCGGGATTTTGATACTGTCGGGATTATGTTTGTCGGAATTTTTAAAATTATTATAAATTGTTTTACATAAAAGTCTAATGCACACTAATTGAACAAACCTAAATAAAAACATCATAATTTAATGTTAAGAAAAAAAGGTTGTAAATACACTGGTTTAGTAGAATAACCAATTGAATACAATCAAGAACACAATTTTTAAATGACGGATGACGAGAACATGAGTATCTGTCCATGGTAATCCTTTAATTCTTATTGCAATAATCCCCATTAGGATTTATCAGTTTTTAAAACCGGATGTAGGAAAACCGGTTTAATTTTTCATCAAAAAAATCATCAAGTAATGAAGCTTTTCTACTAATATATTTTTTGTCTGCCGTTTGAGAATAAGAAATAAATAAAGATCTCTTTCTACTCTTCGCCAAAAAAGCGTCCAGTTATTCAGTAGGAAGAAATTTTACAACCTAAATAACTTCGGGTACTAGCAATGAATGCAACGTTTGTGCAGATAACAAATGAGAGAATATAGTTTATTTCTTCAAATTTTCTATCCAAATCCATGTCCTTATACATTCCTTCCTTTTAAAAATCATATTTTCTAAGAAAAAAAAATAAATAAAACAATATTTTAGATTCATTAGATAAATGACTCTGATATTCATCTATCTGTATGGTTTTCTATGGAGTAAATTTGATTTACTTATAGTTTTATGTTATAATATATCAAGTTTTTAAGTTATGTTTTGTGAGATTTTATTTTCATATATTTTTTAATTAATTTTCCCTATTTTTTACAGGTAAATTCAAAAACCGGTTTTGTAAACAAATTTAATTTAGTAAACCGGTTTTTTTATAAACCCTAATCCCAATGCACCGTCGAATTTGAAGAAAAATCTGAAATTAGGATAGGTACAAAGACGAAGAAATACACACAGACAAATTCTACTAGATTTTTTTTGCCATGATTCTTTATTATTATTATTAAATCGAAATACTTTCGGTAAAAATAAAGATGAAACAATAAATATCATTTATTCATCGAATGGAAACAGATTACTTCTTTTTTTTCTTTCTTTCATTAATTTTCATCATTTTTTTTTTGTTAAATTATCATACATATTTCGAATCTCCTCCTGGAAACTTAACTAATCTTAGAAGAAAACCACGAACGAACATATAGATTGAGAGGCACGAACAAGTTTCGAAATATTCCACAAGCTCCAACAAAAAAAAAGAAAAGAAAAAGTAATGTCACCATGAATGAAGCACACAATACATGTTATTATTATAATTAATTCGCTTTAATTTCATTACGAAAAAAAGAACAATAATAAATATAATAATAATCATATAGAGAACAAATAAAACACATCCATACACAGTAATATTTCCTTAAACCGCATCCACAAGAAGACAGGAAGAATGCACGCTCAAATATAATATTTATATCATAATTTTCACTATCTATTATATATTTATCTGTGACCATTTGATTCACAAATTATTATTTTTCTTTTCATTTTTTCCCCTAAAGGTTTTCGTGACAAATCCAAACAGAGAGAACAAAAACAAAGTTTAAAAAAAAAAGTACATTTGCGTGTAAGATCAATTAAAATTTATTATTATTTTTTTCTTTAATTATACACAATAAGTTAATACGATAAATTTGATAATAATAATAATAGGCGACAACCAGGAATGTTTTGGAAAAAAAGCCATTGAATTCTTCTCATCTCATCTTCTTAAATAAGTTTCTTCCTCTTATTTGGAATTATTAAACAAAACCGACACCGACAAACTTGAATTTTCTTTACAGAGCACAGGGAAAATATTCAGCAAAATATACGAAAAAGAAAAATATATATATATATACTTAAAAGAAAACAAGAATTTTGGTGGAAAAAAAATATTATATATATAATAGGAGAAAATGCACATGAGCTTTTTTTCTTACTTATTTTCTTAATGATGCTCATGAAATATATATATTATACCATATGCTACAATTCAATGGATCTTTTTTGTGTGTTGTTGTTTTGCAATGTTTTTATATAATTCGTTGATCGTTTTTAAAACAAAAAATGTTTACATAATGGGAGATTTAAATCGATAAACTAGTTAATAACATTATACGATATTTCATATAATATTCTCTTCATGCATAATTATGTTAATAATGAACTCTATATGGATTGTTTCCAGCTTTCCGAAGAATTTAAGTTTACATTTGATGTGAGGGAAGGAGGATAAATACGCACTAGTTTATCAATATAAACTAACAATAATCTCACAAAGAAAGAAAGAAAAAATATTTATGATTATGCAAAAAAAAAAAATTAAATCTAATGTATATAAAAGTAATTTATCTAATTTAAAAAAAAAAACATATTATCATTAAAGTACAGAGAAAAATAATAATAATATTAATATATAAATACATTGTTGTTTGATGTTGTTGATTACTTTTGTTTTTTTTTTGTTTGTTTGTATCCTTTAATCCTGCGTGTTTTGTTTTTTTTTCTCTTTGAAGTAAGGAAATTATCTACAGCATGTTAATATTAAAAAAGTCATACAGCTTGTCTAATATATGTTTGAGAGATAAACAAATAAGGCCATCATCGTAAAAAAACAGAGCGAGTGAGAGAGATATAGAAAAAAAAATAACATTCGTTTTTAAAATCAAATTATAATCATATATAGTGAAAGTGAATAGTGACAAATCTGGGCATCGATCGAACAGAAGAAGGTTAAATCAGACATATCTATGGACTGTTCTCGTTTTTTTTTTATTGACTCCATACATTAGACAATCAGTAAATATAAAAACTTCAAAAATTGTAACATACGGTTAATAACACTGATATTTAGTCCACCCAGTACATAATAATATATAGATCACTTGCACTTAACGATTGGCATTCTTAAGTTGATTGGACAACCAGTCTAAGCCTTCGTAGAGGCCGTCACCGCTGGTCGCGCACGTAGCCTGAATGTACCAGTTGCGGTTCCTTAATGAGTGCAGACCGAGCTTGTCTGTGATTTCTGCCGCGTTCATCGCATTCGGCAGATCCTGTTTGTTTGCGAAGATCAGCAGCACGGCATCCCTCAGCTCGTCCTCGGCGAGCATCCTCATCAACTCGTCCTTCGCCTCGCCGATACGCTCCCTATCGTTGCTATCAACTACAAAGATTAGGCCCTGAAAACAAAAAACCGAAGAACATCATTGTTACAATCCTACGTTCTCCAAATTCGTTTCTACAACCACTTCTTTACACAACACAAAATAATTGATCATTGGAATTCACTTCAGTGATAACGAGTATTATTACGTCCCAGACATCTAAAGTTTACTTTAAATTTTCAATTTAAGTTAAATGGTTAATTAAAGAAGACAAACGCACAATAATTGAACAAATTTAAATTAAAACATCATAATTTATCTGTTTCAATTGTGTTCTGTGAGGAAACTTGAATAATCATTCTAATACAATTTATAATGAATTCGATTAACACATGAATTATCATAAAGTATAATTTCTCAATAAACTATATAATACCACCCAAATAGGTTGGTGTCCCTATAATACCACTCAATAAACTTTTAATCTACTAATCGTAAAGACGTGATAACTTTGTTTAATAATATAATTAGTCAATATTTTATATTATCGAAAATTAACAAACTTTTGCTTCTGAAATCTCCACTTTAATACAAATACGCCCAAAATGAAGAAATACTATCGCCCTTTGTATTTTTTAATGAAAATAATTGAATTGTAAATATGTATTTATTTTATGATTATTGCAATAAACGTTATTATTACACTAATATACATAATACCACCCAATAAACAGTTTATTCGCTGAGAAAATGTATCATAATGAATAATGTCAAACAAGAATGCAAAATCTTCAAGATTTCTTTATGCAATAACTTCATTATTTTAAATATTTTTTTTATAAACTTTTGCCTAAAATGCTTCTGAAATTTACATTTAAATACAAATAAGCTTAAAATTAAGAAATTATGTCGCCCTTTGCATTTCTTAATGAAAATAATTGAATTTTTAAACATGTATTTATTTTATGATTGTTGCAATAAACGTTATTATCACATTAATAGTGATAAACAGTTGATTTACTAAGAAATTGTATCATAAACAATGAGCATTGAAGCTTGGGTATCGCAAAGTATTGTCAAACAAAGAATACAATAACTTTACGCTTTATCCAATGACTAAGTCCTCGCAATAACTTCATTACTTCAAATCAAATTTATTATAAACTTTTGCCTAAAATGCTTCTGAAATCTCCACTTTAAGCTTAAACTGAAGAAATACTGGCAAATAATTGAATTGTAAATTTATATTTATTTTATGATTGTTGCAAAAAACGTTATTATTACAATACATATAACTACTACCACCAAATAATCTCATTTGATTTACTAAGAAATTGTATCATAAACAATGAGCATTGAAGCTTGGGTATCGCAAAATATTGCAATACAATAGCTTCACACTTTAATCCAATGACTAACAAAATCCTTGCTATAACATCATTACTTCAAATATTGGTCATCAAAGGCATTACACGAACTTTGATAACGTTAGGGTAGATCGATTCCAAATCCCACCCTCAACTAAATATAAATGACGCACTTTGCTAGCAGAGGATTTTGTAATGTGAAGAACGGATAAAAGATCAATTCGATGAATAATTTGAATCAACTATAGACCAGCAAGTATTTGAAACAGAAGCAATATAGAAAAGCAATCGAATTCTATTAAAAGAAAAAAATCTGGATACATTCATGAGTATCAAACACTAAATGAATAGCTATCTCCCTCAGCAGGTTTCAATTACTATCAACAATAAAACGCTGGCCTAGGCGGAAACAGAAATACGTGCAACACGTATACAGTTATTAATTATGCGATAATAATGAAATAGACTCATAAAAATATGAAAGCGTGAAATTCTAATGAATAAATATATAACAAAACAAAAAAAAAATAATTAGCTCACCTGCGTATTTTGGAAATAATGTCTCCAGAGTGGCCTGATTTTGTCCTGACCACCGACATCCCACACTGTGAAGCTTATGTTCTTATATTCTACAGTTTCAACATTAAATCCTAAAAAAAAAACGAAGAAAATATTTTAGTAAACAAGTCTCACATTTGTATGTATAATATTGAGTAGCTCGTTGACCCATTTCGTTAAGTCTGCTATAATTATGAAGAGAATAGCTAATTTTGTAAAATAAACTTGAAACTGAAGTAAATAAGAACTGTACTCACCAATAGTCGGAATTGTTGTAACGATTTCTCCTAATTTAAGTTTGTATAATATTGTGGTTTTACCGGCAGCATCCAACCCGACCATCAGTATTCTCATTTCCTTTTTGCCGAAGAGGCCTTTAAATAAATTTGCGAACATATTCCCCATGGCGAAGTTCTTATTATATTACCTGCAAACATACGGATAAAAACAAATTAATACACTATACAAAGTACAAATCAGATACTTGCCAAGTACTCAAAGTAATTGGTTCAAGTTGCTTGGCAAGTACTGCGTTCTTTAAGAAAATCTTTGGATGAAAAGGTTAACAAACACTGAGAGCCATTTTAATAAGAATAAATTACATTTCTAATAATAACAGAAAATAATTATTGTTTGTATAAATAGTGAAAACTGCTGTTACGTTCTAGGTAATTATTATCAAGTTGCATAATAATGCTTCAATAAAAACAACAGAAGATGACGCATCACGAATATATATATACCACGAACGTAATACTCTTCATATTTGATCGGATGGCGCAGGTGTGGGTGTTGAAATTAAAGAGATACGTGTTCGGTTCATCAATACAAATTTAAAAAAAACGAAAATCGTTTACGAAATGATTGACAAGCATAACAATTGTGGAATAATGATCGGTTATCGTTAGTACTCATTTCAACGTTTTCTCCATTCAGTTTCGAGCGAAACGTTATCAAAACGAGTTAATATAAACGGTGTCATATCACTCTTATCTGTCAAAGTCCTATTATCATCATTATTAGAAATTATTACACAGGCTTTATACAAAAACCTATGGGACAAAGCAACATTTACAAAATCATATTTCGTAGTAATTACAACCATTTCTTATTGTTATTGCATATAAATACAATTAGGACATATTTAACCAAAATCCATCAATGTTTTTGTATCTTTAAACATTATTAAAATGAATTGGACACAAACGAATTCCAACTTATATTGATAAAACATAAATATGCGATGCGTCATAAGTATGATTATAATGAAAGTGTTTATTTAATAATACTTTATTATCTTTACATAGAAACAAAATGAGTATATGGATTGACAAAATCCAATATTGTGAATCAATTATTTGTAAGGTAATGCAATGAAATATGCTGCAAAAACGTTACAATTTACTTAAAAAAAACTAATAAATAAGTAAAAACAGTAAAGGATTCTATCGCTTACGTTACGACTGACACGTCATTGCGCAACGCACACCGATTTTTTTTCTACGTGTCCCAATAAATGTCATGATTGAAAGTATTTAATATTAAAAAAAATGATTATATCGATGCATTTATTAAAAATGATGATGAAACACCATAAAACATGATGCAAATTTTAGTGAAAAATACAAAAAATTGTTATAATTGCAACTTAACTGACAGATCGTATCTTAAAACATGATTATTGTAACGAAGTTAATAATAGAAGCAATTGATTTAGAACAAGTATTTATATACACAATACTTTATAAATAATAAATTATCGAAAAAAGTAAATCCAAGTATTGATTTTCAGAGTCTTAGAGAAAAATCAATAATGGTTTTCAAAATAAATTGATAAATTATTTCAAATATGAAGATAATGTAACTGCACTTGACACGTCATTCAGTGTTTCCATGGAAATTGAGTATTAATGAAAGTCTATTGAAACTAATAATATATGATAATTAGCGTTACAGAAATCTGATATTTGCATTATAATTTGCAGCGAGTAGGAAAAACAGAAATGTTATAAACATATATATAAAATAAACTTAAAAGATAATTAACCAATTATACTTTATTAATGCACAATTGGATGATAATAGAACTGAAAGAGCTCTGCAATATTAATTCGAGTTGATGAGCGCTTCTTCTCTAAATGTCATTCGCCTCTATGAAAATGTCATCGCATATTGTAACATAATTCAATGTGCACTACAACCCAAGTGTCATCACCATAAGGAACATCCGTGTTTATACACTTGCAGCAGTAAATGCAATTTAGCAACTCGCATTATTATCTTACTAACGATAAAGCAAACTCTTCACTTCGCGATTTTAAGTTGTTTTTTCTTTTATTTTTCGAGTCACGTCATGGATTTTTCAGGACGAGAGGAAAATCAGACCAAAGGTCCATACTTTTCCTCTTACTCCTATAAATAACGCATTTGCACAAAAAACATGTTTCGTATTGGATTCAACGTTTTATTGATTGCAGAGCACGAGCATCACCGGAATAAGAATGAGTGCGTTTGCGGTGATGATAAAGGATGTTTTGCAAAAAAATAAAAATCATATACAGGTTAAAGCATTATCGTTTTAATTGGTGATTGCGAAGAAGTAATGATTATAATTAATTAATTTTTTTTTTCAGAGAAATGCATTTTTTATAACTGTAATGGTACACATCATCAATTTCGTGAAGATGATGATAATACACGACAATAAACAGAAAACTCCATTGGTCTTTCTGGCGAAAAATCTAATTGCGGCACAAAGGAAACGCGAAAAATATTTATATATATATATGGGGGGAGATGGATGCAAAAGTGCGGGGCTATTATTAATCGCAGGGCAATTTGATGTTATTGATTGATATTAATGACTAAACCTTACTCAGCTTCGATGCGAATCGATTTCCACGATACTATTCCACGTACACTTTTATTATACCGCCTGCGTTCTCCGACGTTCTTTTTTTTATGTGCTGGCTGTTCTCTCGCACTTAGGCTATATACAAACTACTAGAAACTCTTATGGGATTCCGGTTCAGAGATTCACGATGATGCTCTTTCTTTCTATGATGAATATCTGCGCGATATTCTGGTCGATCTTGGTATGAAGGGTCGTCGCTGTCGGAGAGGAACGCAGCGAGAGGTGGCCAAGTATTAAATGCCGACTTGACGTTGTCACCTTCAAAACCAACTCCCTAATAATTTTTTGACAAGAAAAACAAATGCCAAGTACGCATTTGCTCTTCGCCCGACAACCTAAACTACTTAAGAATGGCTCAAAGTGTTTCGTTACCTTCGATCCGGTGGGCTTTTTACTCACTTTCTTATATAAAAAAACACGCTACACTTTAAAGAAAACGCTACCACATCCAGCTACCTCCCAAAACTTGTCGTATGTCAATATGGCGGACGTGGAAAAGATTCGTAGCTCATGCCACGTCTCGGACTAAACCCGAACACCATTGGCCCCCTCTCGTGTCACGTGAACAGCCGTTGCCAAATCTTCAACTATTACACCACATTTCAGTATTATTCATCAAGGAATTTCCATTCATCTCTTCAACAACTTTAACATTTCTTTCATCATACTTCACAATTTTATATATTCAACCCCAATCTTATTTATTATTTAAATTATATAATTATAAGTTCTCCAATGTAACAAATACTTCTTATTGAAGAACTAATTATTTATTTACATAATATATTACTTAAATATTACCATAGAATATAATACAAGAAAGACTAAATATAAGAAAAGAAAAACTTAAATGTTGTTGTTTGTTTTGCAATATAATTATAACTAATTGCATAAAATAAGAAGTAAATTATTCTAATAAGCATTCCATTTATAACTAAATTATTTAGTTAATAAAATTGCATAAAATAATATTATTTCAAATAAATTCAACTTCTCCAAATGTAAATAATTTCATTTTTAAATAAATTCTCAAATTTTGCAGAAATCTTATTTACGAAATATGCAAAATTAACAATAAGTTTCTTATGTTTAAGTCCACATTAAAGTAATAATTTATCCAAGGATTTAAATATAATAAAAACATTGGTATAATTCTTACAAGAAATCAATAATAAAAGCATTCAATCAATAAAATCTATTTGTTTACATAATTAAAGAATGTAATTGAAATGATGTAATTTTATATAAATATATAATTCCATGACTAAAGTAATATTACACAAGTTTTGATTTCTTTTCATCAAGGAGTAAAATGTACGTGTCCTGTCGATAGGACAACAACGCCGAAATCATCCAATCGTTACGGTGCATGTCGATTAAGTATGGTTTTGTCCATACAGTGAGGGAGATACGCGTTTTACATGTAAAAATCGATTACTCTAACAGCGCGAATGCCAATTTATATATATATAAATCTCAATTGTAATTAGATCTTTCAAAAAATCGAATATGCCTTATCCAAAGTCACCGTTCGCAGACAATTTTCCATCAAAAATTGTTTTCGAGCATGGAAACGATAGCTCAGCAGGAGACCACCAGGTATAAATTGCTTATGTCAAATGGAAGTTGGTAACACTGAAGAACTTACCGCTAATTTTGATATTTAAATATAACGACTACTTGTTAAACTTTACCTTTACAGAATTTGTTTATAATTAAAAATAAAAGTAATAATTTATTATTTTTTATTTGAATTTGATCATTTAAATTCATAATAATATATTGAATATTAAGATTTTAAAATCATTATTTTTCAGGAGGAATTTTCGAATTTAACCGAATGGTTATGTTCAACGCCTAAAATCAGCTCATACAGAGTAAACACTCTTCATTGTACCTTGGAATCTGTGATAGATCAAATTCGAGACCAATTGGAAAAAGTACATTGTAATTCACACTTGTTTATGAAAATTTATTTGAAAGCAATCTATTTTTTTTAAATAGATTTCCACCATCAGAAATTGCAAAACTCCAAGGGTTTACCAGCACGAGGTTCTTAAAGATGTCGTGATTGTGGACAACTATGACCTGAAGGATTTGGAGTTAACTGGAAGAACGAACGAGATAATCGTGGACGTTCATTGCGGAGCGGCGGTTTTGCGCGGAGCGCATATTTTCGCTCCGGGCATAATTGGAATGACTTCCGGTATTAATTTTAAACTATAAAAATAAGCTAGTAAAAATCAATTTTTCAATTTCAGGAACTAAGGTTGATGATGAAGTCAGTATATACGTTGACGTGGATAAAGTATGCAAGAAGGGATTGAAAGCATTCGAAGGTAATAAAGTTTATGTAGGTAATGGCATTGCGAGAATGGACAGGCACCATTTGTTTGGTGAGAATCTGCAACCAAGGTTCGTTTTTATCGATTTAAAAACTTAAAAATAAAATCTTTTAATTCTAGCGGATTTGCAGTTGAAATGTTGCATTCTACATCAGGGTGTCCACCGTTGGGATCCTTATTTCTATCGGCTGATTCAGCTCTTCTGCAGAACATTCCGTCTGTGGTTTGCATTGAAGCTTTAGACCCAAAACCGGGCGATATTATACTCGATATGTGTGCTTCACCGGGAAATAAAACAACGCATATCGCAGCAAAGATTAATAATTCGGTAATTCTTAATTACTACTAAATATTGTGACTAATTTAACTTGTTTTAGGGAACTTTGATAGCAATCGATAAGACTCCAACTAAAGTATTGCAATTGCAGAAGACTTGCGATAAATTTAACTGCAAAGCTTCCATCCATAAGTTCGATTCCACCAAGATTTTCGATACAAAAGCTAGCGGTACAGAAAATCCGCCCTTCGGACCAGAAACCTTCGATAAGATTCTTTTGGATGCGCCTTGCAGCGCTCTAGGAAAACGTCCGCAACTTGCGAATAAAGACACAGAAACTGTGATCAAATCCCATATACCGCTCCAAAGGAAATTATTTCAAAACGTAATTTAATCATCTGTTAACTAACATTTTTAACTGAAAAAATCTATTTTTCTAGGCTGTGAAGCTGTTGAAAACTGGTGGAACTATGGTGTACAGTACGTGCACAATTACTCTTGCTGAAAACGAGGCTATAGTAGCTTGGGCCCTGAAAACCTTCGACTGTTTACAATTGGTGAAAGCTGAACCACAACTCGGTGGACGCGGTTGGAAGATGAACGGGTTGAAAGATGATCAATTGGAATTGATGCAGCGCTTCGGTCCGGACGACGGCGTCGATTCCGTTGGATTTTTCGTAGCGAAATTTGTGAAAACCAAAGCTGCAGAATAAAATAGTTTGTATATACTCAGCATGTATTTAATTTGAATTGTTTCTCGTTGTGGCTTCCAATGGCGCGAAGCTTCGTCGAGTATTGGCAAAAGTCAACATTAGTCTTCACGGTCATCTCCGCCTCGTATAATTTATACTCACTGAAAAAGCGATATTAGAGTAGTTTTAGTTGTGAAATAAGTTATTACCAAGGGATGCAAATCACGTAGATATCGTATATGAAAGGCTCGTCGTTCATGCAAGAACCCAACACTCCAGATGTTTGAGTTACAATGAATTCTCCATCAGATATTATTTCGAAAGGCACTCGGCAATCTGAAAATCAGATATTTTACTCGAAAGGAGACAACAGTAATCTAATTTACTAGTATAATTCTTTATAGTGAGTGTCATCTTTCTGCTGTTACCAATAAAGACGATTCCAAAATCGAGCAACGTCGGGATTTCGATTAACGGAAAATAGATTTCAAGTTCGGCTGGAATAATCTAAAAACGAAGAAGTTTTAATCAATATAGATATTGATAAAAATTAACCTGTTTCATAGCTCCTTTCTGCATTATCTTCAATTCGTTGAAGTATTTGTAAGAGCAAGTTCCGAAATTCACCGAATAAACTTGATACTCGTCGTGTCTCGCTAAATTATAAATCAAATTGGCCATATTATACAGCTGATCTAGTACCAATTTGAAGCACACCTTGAGCTGAGGAAAAAGCTGTATACAAAAACAATTAATAAAATGTTAAACTTACATAAACGCAAGATTCTGGAAGGATTGTAATTGGGGATTTAACATCTGCGATGAAGTTATCCAAGTATTGGATTTCTTGAATCTTAAAGGGATCTCCGATCGAGAAGGAAACCTCCATTGGGAAGTTGTTGTGGTTCTTGAAAATCAACACTTTGGAAGCGGATATACTTTCTTTATCAACTTCAATGCTCGCGTGGATTGCGAAGCTGAGATCGCTGATCGTGTCCAAATTCAATTTCGGTGTATCCAAAGACGCGTACAGTTTCAAACGCAACGGATGCATCTGACTGCCGGTTTTCCGCATAAACATATGATCGCGTTTCCTAAAATTTCAATCAAATCAATTCAACTTACACATAAAAAAACAAGTAATTAACTTGAAGATGTTAGCAACGTGGATGTATCCAACTAAATTGGCTTCGATATCCGTCCGTCCGATCTGTGTAACGTAAGAATCAGAATTAAACACAATGTCTATGGCTATAGTTTGTCCAACATCGATGAACGTTTCTCTAGGTGTAATCTGTAATGATCATGAATTAAAAACGATTGCTATTTCCACGTTATAATTCACATTAAATATGTCGTAATTCGAGAAACCGCAGAGCTTTCGATGCGTCAGTATTAAATTGCCTGTGGATTCAACGTCCGCGTCTAAAAGCCGTTTCATGTTTGGGTGATAAATGTCGAAGAGCAAAGTGATCGGCTTATCGCGACAATCCAAAGTTTTCATGAAAACGTGCCAAACAACTGAAACCGGAACGCGACTCGTGTTCCGAACGTAAACCTTCCTCTTCACCGACTTTGAGTTGTAAGGTACAACACCAAATCTGCAAATAAACAACTTTCAAATCACCTTTTATAAAAGATCAATACAATTAATTTTACCTAAACTTTGCGTGTTTGTTCAACGAATTTTTAGCGATCGGAAACTCCAATGGTAATCCAACCACTTCAATTAAAACGGTGATCAGAAGCGGAGCAATATTGTTGACTTGAAATTGTATTTCGTCGGCGTAAATTCCCCAAGTGTTTGCGTACACCCAAACGTCCAGAAACGTCCCTTCGTACGGATCCAAATGTTGCTTACCCAATTCCAACTTGATGAGCACACCATTATTCCCGAGAATCGATTCCCAATGATCTAAAATTGAAGCAATGAAAGCAACAAATAATATTTATATAAATAAATAAACGAACCATCCTTTTTAACATTTAAATCGACTAAAATATTGTGGATGCTCCGGGTAGTCAGCAAAACAGGCTTGAAATTTGCTACGTCCACTTCGAGGAATCCTTCGACCGGAGTCATATTCTGTATGGCAATAGTTTTCTTAATCGGTGCTCTTAAAGGAACGCCTTTGAATTCCATGTGATTTTCGTGGATGAAGATATCCTCGTCAAAGTATTCCCTCAGAGAATCCGAGCTCAACGCGGAGAAGCTCGAGGTAGAAATAGTGTCTTCACGTTTAATTGGTTCAACTTCCTCTTCTCCGATTCCTTGAATAAGATTGTGCAAATATTCCGTGATATCGTTAATCACAGATTCCTCCGCGAAATCAGTTTTGGAAAAGACTTTGGCTTCCTCTACTTCAGAAGATGATTTACTCTCGTTAACGCATTTCTCCTAAATTAAGAATTTGATAAATTTGTTTTTTCTTTAATTGTTATTTACCGGTTCAATCCGATATTCCAAATCGTAATTCATTTGAGGAGGCCAATAAACTGGCTTCTCCATGCCCGGAATTATCAGTTGCACGTTGACATCTTCTACGACGCATAGTATCACCAAAACCAGAGGTTTCTTCTCAACGTATTTTCCCTTGATTGACGGATTGTACGTGATTATCTCGCATGGTAAATAAAGAGACTCGAAGACGCAGACCTCCAACGGCGTTAGCTCCAGGTTGACGCGTTTGAAGGTCTTGGCTGGAACGAATCCGGTCGTTGGGAAAACCTTGGCGCAGACCAAATCACTCTTGTCGCCATAAATTTCGCCGAACAGGAAATTGGCGTCAATCTGACTGACGTTGTGTAAACACAATGTATACACTGAAGTTTTATTCGCGTAGAGCAACTCTCCAGGACATAAAATCGAGCATTCGCTCATCTGCGTGTGCAAATAGATCGTGAGATCATCAACAATGTAGGAAACGGTGCAAACACCGTTAATCACACTCTCATCCTTATACTTGGTAATTAATTGCAAAGTCGAAGAGAATTCTCCAACCTCCTGAAATTTAACCAATTATTCTCTGAAAATATTAATGTTCAGAAACTACTTCACCGTTGCCCTCACGATATATTCAACTTCGATGTTACCATCATCCAAATTATCGAAAACCATAGAATTGCTGCTCTTCGTGAAACCGCCATTTTTCATAAACGTCTCCCAAATTTCCCAATCCACAATCACCGCATTTTTATTCTCCACAATAAAAGTTTTACTATAAACAAGCCCCAGCTCCAGTTTTCCGAAATCCAAGTGCTTTTCCAACAACGTCAACTCCGGTCTCTCCACTTTAGCTATAATCTTAATTTCTTTCCTATACAAATCATTCACAACCAATCTAAAGAAAAAATAATAATTCAATTCATTAAACCTCACTGAGATCTTGTTAAAATGAATACTTACGTCATGCTTTCGGATATATCGTCGTAACTCTGATTGGAGATGAAGAACGAAACTATGAACGGATGATTCGTGTCCGTGTTGAAACTAGTTGTGTCGTTGAAGACGATGTCGGGATTGCTGATTTCCCAAGAACAAATCACGTTTTCGTTGAGTTCATGCGCGACGGTGCATTTGAACTCGAGATACTGTTCTTCACCCAATCTCAATAACAAAAGAAAACTAAAGAAAACAACGAAAATCAAATTAAACCCAATACTTACTTCATTACATTCCTAACTACAACTTCTTCAGGTTCAAATTCGATGAAGAACTCTTCGATTTTACAAACCAATTCGATTTTTGCAATCAAAATATCTACAAACTGTTAAATTTTATTAATACCATTCGAAGCTACAGATTGATGATGCACCTTTTTCGAAGAATCGCGAGTCACAAACCTTTCCAAATTTTCTACTGCCTCTTTGGGTACTCCCTTGATGAAAAGACTTAAATACGAATTGATTTAAACAAACAACAGTTTAATTGTGATCGTTGCTGTTACCTCAAATGTAAATCATAGAATCCCGTACTTGGAATACTTGGCTTCAAGTTCAGAACAATAGGCGTTTTGCTGTATGCAGGTAAAACTCCAGAGTTGTCAAGATCGATGTCTTCTTTCGGTAAACTCTTCAGCATGGCGTATTTCAAGTTAGATTGTTCGTTGTTCTCAATCCAATAGTAATTAAGGTTTAAGGGTCTAAATATATTTTTTTTAGTAATTAATTCATTGATTTTCATTTTTTTTTACCCGTTATTATAGATGTAGATGGTTCTAGAAGTCACTTGATTCGTTAAGCACAAGCCATAATCGATTAAGAAGTTTCCAAAGAACTTTGGCTCTTCTGCGTCTTCTGGTAAACTATTTTCTGTGTGTATCTCCTTCAAGTATTTAATGATCAGTTCGGAGTCAGTTTTGGGAATCCCATCAATCATTTCGATGTTTTGTATCGAAGAACAGGAGCTGCGCTGAGTGAACAAACTACCTAAGTCAATCTTCTTCTCCACCTGCTTCATCACCTGCTCCCAAATCCACATAGCCGATTGAGGTGATGTAATATCTGAACTATTACCATCATCCACATTTTTCACGGGAAACATTATATTTATTAAATCATCGATTGGCAAAAACTGAAAATTAAAATTTCATCATTAAAACATGTAATTGGAAATTCTGTTAAATCCAGACTTCAGGTGACTCCAAATTCACCATGAGCTCATCGAACATCACGCAATCCGCAACAACATCCACGTTTTCGTAAGTGCAATTATCGCATAACAGCAAGAAACTATCCAAATTTAAACCAATTTCGCACGAGGTGAAAGTAATCATCATCAAAATGATTTCTCCCGGCTCGATTTGGAAGTAAGCTGGAGTCACTGTGAACGGTCCACATGTCAAGTCCAATTTATCGTTCACCTAACAAAAATATTTTTTTATGAGAATGTAAACAATTTATATTAATTATTTACAAGAGCTTCCCAATTGTACCAATGTTCTTCGCTCATCATAAAGAATTTCCCGGCGCTTCCACAATTTTTTATAAGCAGGAAGATTTCGTTCGTGTCTCCACGAAAACAAGGACCACAATCGATGCATTCGTTCAACACGATCGATCTGTCCATATTGAAGTTCACGTGGACATCATAGCTGGTCTTTATTGAAGTTTTGTGTATGAACAGGCACAGATTCGGCGCATGCCGATAACTCGCAATATTTACTTCAATTGACCCTAAACCAGAATATACTTAAATTCATCTACAATTACGTTGGAAAATCACCTGAATCCGAGCCTATTTTCAAGTAATCGCTAACATCAAGAAACAAGTCAGTCTTGAAGCTTACTTCGATATGGGCGCACATCCCAGGCGAGATCTTCCCAATGAATCCATCCAAAAGTTCGACTTTGAAGCATTGGGCTTTCGGTAGTTCTTCGATGAAGAAACTGTGAGGTTTAGAACTAACGTTCTGTATTTTGAATCTCTTCTATAAAAAAAAATATTTTTATCATGAAATAAGAATAAACAGTAAACGCACTTTGTAAAGAATGTTTAACTGGTAGTTATCAAAGATAACAGCGTCCACGTTGCTCCGAAAAGCATCTTCCTGCTTCTTCGAGTCTTCCGCTTTAGCTTGTATCATTTTCTTAGGTACAGTCTTCTCCAATTTCACAGGTATCACATCCAAATCGGAAACGCACGGTGAGCAGCCATGGAAATTCTGGTTTATTCGAAAATCTAATTAAAAACACGCAAATCAATGAAGATATTATAATAATTGAAAGATTCCAACTCATGTTTCTCTCCAGTTTATTCGGAAGCAAATCAATCTCCTTAATTAAACCAAACTGTTCGATCTCTTTGGGTTTAATGTTAGCAAACAACGGTCGTCTCTTCAGTAGTCTTCGTTGCTCATTGCAAGTTAAGCTTTGGAACAACTGTTCCCGTATCAAATGCTTTCCATGTTTTCTCATCAACCTTTGCTCGACTATAGCAATATCTTCCACGTTAAGAGCATTTTTAAAGATCTCCTGCATACAAATAGATTGAATGATTGAAGTAAAGATGTTAATGAAGACTCACGGTTTTGACTTCGCAAGCGGTTTCTTTGATTTGCAGAGATTCTACGTTAAATTTGCACATGTTCCGCGCCACGTTTTCGGGGAATTGCGGTTTCTGCAATAGATCTTGAAAGACGTCGGTGATGATATGGCCAGCATCGTGATTTTCAGTTAAGTTGCTTTTGGGAATCAATGGTAACTTTCCATCCATCCTGCAAACGATTCCTTCAAAAACTTCGTTGATTGATTAAACGATTTGACATGTGTAACACGTAATCAACAAAAAAAAATGTACATGTAAAGTGGGTGTAATCAAACAAGAAAAGATTTCGTTCTTATAAATTTATTTGTAATAAAAATCGCGTTCGAACGTCCAAGAGGGAGAGAAATATCAACTTTTTTGCCATTTATTATAATAATGTTCCTTGTTATCTTCATCATCTTTTATATCAATAAATGTCCTTTAAAAACTACATTTACACTATGTCATTGACCATACTATTTATAGTATTTAAAATAAATATATATCGTAGACTATTTTAAACAAACGGAAAAATATATATGCATAATATATATATATAAAATAGAAGAGAAAAAAACAGACGTAAAATAAACTTAATTGTAATACAGTTATTATACCTCCGTCCCTCGATGATAATAATAATCTTTCACATACATTAATTTTTTACAAAATAATAACAAAAATTATATATATATATTTGTTGAAAGTAGTCTCGAATCTTTCGCATATATTTTTTTATATGTATATTTATGTTGAATATATATATAAATGCCGTTTTTTTTACTTCATTTTTCTGGCGTGAAAAGATGGTATTGCTTCATCTATATTACATTAAACTTAATCGGAGAAGTAAACGTTGCTGTCTTTATTAATTAGAAACAAATCGCTTTGTTTCAATTGCAATAACGAACTGGTGCACGTTGGGTGGGGGGATAAATTATACAAAAGTTATGAAAACAGAAAGAAAAAAAAAAGGAAATCATCATCATATGCGTGTGTGTATATATAAAGTATATCTGAAATGAAAGGTAATAATACGTCTAGGATGTTGTCTATCTATTTGTCCAGTTCAAGTGCGGCGTACTGTTCGGCCGTCACCTCTGTCATCATGAAATTCCCATCGGGCAACATCAATACCACTTTCCTCGTGCCGCCTATAAATTAAAACGATTTAATAATGGTATTATGGAAAGTGTAAGATGGATCTTACCAGGACTAGGTGGATTCGCGCTAACGATTTGCGCGACCACTTGTGAATCGTCTGCGGCTGCGTCTTCCGTTTCCGTATTAATAGTCAGGGGTTCCTCGACGGTTGGAGCTTCCGCAATGGTCACCGTTTCCGGTTCCGCTTCCTGCACAGTCTGCTGATCCGCCTTCATCAAAGCCTGATTGATCAACCCAGCGTTTTCTGGAGCCACAAGCAAGCATTGCTGCTCACCATCCTCGCCCTATTTCAATGTAACAAACAAAGAAAAAAAACAAAATTAATATACTGTAAAGAAAAATAAAAGCAGTTTAATAATGACGCAACATGTGTTTGTTTTTTTGTAATATGATGCAATGTAGTTTTGTAATTTAAAAAAAAATAAACACTTGTTGACGCAGTTGGGTCGATATGATACAAAATTACCTGTTACATCCAACAAAAAACCAAGAATGGAAAATAAACTGAATATTTGGTTATTCGATAAGTAATGTCATTATTTTTTGTTAATAATATATACATATTCGAAAGAAATTGCTGGATTATTAAATATGAAGAAATATTAATTGAATGTTTTACAAAGAAGTTGGTTGTTGTTATGAACATTACTTATCGGACCACCTAATATGAACGGCAACAACATTTTATTCCTTTATTTCTTCAATAAAGTAGTACACCGTAAGGAACAGAAGTCATCTTCAATATAATCAAAACTAAGCAATTTTTATATACTCTATATAAAATAAAAATTTAAAACGCTTAAACGTTCTAATAACCGAAGATAATAATAATTTAACAAACTTTCTTATCTCATGTATGATACAAACCAAAACCAACAACTAAAATAATTTATAAAAGAAAACAATAAAAAATAATAATAACAAACTAATTTACATTGTTTTCAACAAAGAATTAGTAAAATTTGCAAAGATCAACATTTCCAGGGACAAATAGTTAACGCTTAAAGGAAACAATGAAAAAAAAATATCCAGTAACCCAATAAGAAAACCATAATCCAAAAATAAAATAATAAAGTAATAATAATTGCTACAGGAACTAAATTCTCCAAAGGTGTGTTAATTATAAGCATCCGGAGAATCAAGACTACAAAATATACAAAAAAAAATAATGGAAACACTTTAATGAGAGAGCCGTAGGAGTAAAAGGTCACTATACCTGCGTGATCAATATCGTCTGGCCTTCCTCGTTCTGACCGGCCACCTGATAGATAGTGCCATCTTCTCCGGTGATTAACAATGGAGCTTCCGACTCGCTAATCGAGATCGTGTTCATGGTGGTTTGGTCATTGACGGTGGTGACCGGAGACTCAATTTCTTCAGGTTTCACTTCTTGAATTACTGGCGGTGGCTGCACGACTTCCGGTTCCGGCGCAGACGCTTTCTCCGTTATAACCATCGGGACAGAATCGGTATCTGCGAAATGAAAGCGCGGCAAATTAGATTTTCCATATTTCACTAATGGATTTATATGAATTACCTAACAACGAAGGCATACTAATTACTGTATTTCCACTGGTCGGAGTAGCTACGAAGGTGGTGACTTGGGTTTGAAGCTGTTGCTGCTGCTGCGGCGGCGGTTGCTGATGGATAATTTGTGCATGCGACACTGTCGTTGTTGAATACACTTTCTCTGGCACCCTTTTTACAAGACTTCTTGTGGTATTCAGAACACGCTTACGGATGATCTGCGGCTGTTCCCTTTGACGCGGCGCTATAACTTTACTCCTCTGAAGCGAGTTGTTTCCAGCGGATATCCTTGTGATTATAGCCTGAGGAGCCTGCCTTGATCCTACTATAGTACGATTCAGTATACCTTTATTTTGCTGATGGACTATGGTCTTTTGCACTATGCCTGTAGTACGGCGCACGCCAATGTTGGCGTTTGTCAAAGCTGTACTTAAAATTGAATCTTTCGATTTATGTTCCGCAATGGTATGTACAATTTTCGGTTCCACCATATCCTGTTTAATGATAATCTGAGGTTCGCTATTAATAATCTGAAAGTCAAATAGCATTGTGAACCCAAGTAATAATTATTTATTACTTTTAATAACTTACGCTATGAGCAGAGGAGTTTTCCATTGCTGTCTTGATAATATCCATCGTCTCCTGCTTAATTATTTTTTCCTTCATTTCTGGCATATCCTTCAATATATCTGCAGCTGCCAATGTTACCAAGTTGTCTATATTCTCTGTACGCATTGGTTCTGTAATAAATATTAATTTAATGTCTTTTTTTTTGCTAAAATCATAGCTTCTTTACCTGTAGGTTCTGGATCAGGTTCAATGGGTTGACCATCCTTATTCAAAACTTTACCAGTCAATGGACACAGAGTGAATTCTGGAGGTGGACTGTCTGGTGCGGGTAATTGAATTTCCGTAGGGAAATCCATTTCCTCCACACCATCAGATTCTTCGTCGTCTTTAGAATCTTTAGATGAATGTTGATTAGAATCCGTGTTACAAACAACGGAAGCAGCAGCAGCTGCAGCCGCCGCTTTCTTGGCCGCCATCTGGGTATTTTGTTTCTTCTGCATGTACACTTTGCCACTGTAATTCCTTAATGGAGGCTTCTTCAAGATATTCGCTGTGCGCGTTATAGACGAGCCATTGATAGAATCCTTTTTAATAACTTTTATACTGGTCTGACCAATCTTCGGTGCAACCTTCAAAACAGTTTGTCCACCGCTTGTGGCCAGCTGAGAAGTTTTCGTGTCCAACTTGATTATACCAGCAGTCTTCGACATAACGTAAACACCCGAACTCAGTGAAGGAATTTGTTTTTGATTGATGCGAACAATACCTTTGGAATCAGGTATCAGAATATTATCAGGTAAAGTAATTGGTTCAACTTTTTTAATTTTATCGACACCGTTCTGCGTCTTCTGTACCCTTTTGATTGTAACCACAGGAGTGTCATTCTCGGAATCCGAACTGTACTCCTCGTATTTCAATCTTTTCTCGAATGATTCATCTTCAGAGTCATCACTATACACACGTTTTCCGCCCAAGTTTTCGTCAGCCTCAATATTTCCGCACCATTGCTTCACTTGACTCAGCGCCTTTTGTTTGCTTGTCCTCTGTGGACGCCTTCAAAAACTCAAATTAATAATTGCTTCAGACGAATGCACAAATTTACTTTACCCAACGCTTCCAATTGCCTCGAGTAGCTCTTGCTTCTTCATCTGCTTCTTCTCTATACTCTTCTGAAGCCTTTGCTGAGCTTTCTGGATTGCCCAATTCTTCTCAAACTCCTCAACCATCAATTTACAATTCACAAAATTTCCGACCGGTTCCCAAGAATTCTTTTCACTACAAATAAGATTTACCTTAGAATAAAGTCTTTACAGTTTCACTATTTTACTCACGCATCAAAGTTTTCCCATTTAATAAGGTACTCGAAGGTTCTCTTTCTAGGATTGTATCTCTTAGAGACGATTTTCTCCACAGGATATTCCGTTTTTGGGTCGCCGGACACTTTAATTGCTTTTCTGTAATTCTTTGGCTTCTGAAACAAGTTTCTCTCCTAATGATTCAGTGTTAATCAAGTAATATTCATTTGAGCAGCGTTCTGTGTACTCACTTTATTTATGATAACTTTACTATTCAATTGCACCGGCTTCAAAACCTTATTTTTCCCCTTTACTATACGCGTTATTTCACTTTCAGAGTCATCACCTAAGGGATCCCTCTCTTCTGATGGCTCATTACTGTCAGCACTCTCTGCAATTTTAAATTTGAACATAAAGCAATTACGTAATTATTCATTTACATACGTTCTGATTCCAGTTTTTCATCAACGTTAACCTCTTTAATTGTCTCAGTCTAAAATATAAACATGAAAATTAATAGTTGCTAACAGAAACAAATTAATGTTATATTAACCTTGAGCTGCTCAAACTTGGCAGCAATCTCATACAAAGCCTGGATATTCTCACCAGCCTTGATCCAAGACTCCTTCTCCTTAGCTTCCAAATTGCACCAGAGCTGATAAATACTCCAAGAGGTATTCATCTTTGTTTCCTCCTCACTGCCATCCTTAAACTTTGTGTTTTTCCACAGAGTGAATGCCCAGATCTGAGGTTTCTTCTCCTCATTTAAAGTTTCCTTCAATTCATCATTCTCAGTGCAATTATCGTTTGATTTGTGCTGCTGAAAGGCCTCCAAAAAATTGTACACTCTGTGGCACTTTCCACAGACCAAAACATCCTGCAAATCCATTTGCTTTGCAGATTCTAAAAGTAACTGAATCAATAAAAGAATATATATTTTTATTATTATTTCAACTAACCCTTAATAACTTCACTGCATTTTTCATCTGACAGAGCACTTAAAGGATCCTCAACTTCTGTTGTATCATGAGAGACAGGCAGTTCAGCTGCTTTTGGTGGGTCAGGTTTAGAATTTTGTATTTCAGCAGTGATATTTTCAATAGTCTCTATTAAGCTGTCTGAAATATCATTGATATTCTGTGGAGGTAGCTCCTCAGGTTTGTCAAGAAATATTTCAATTTCTGCTGGTTTTTCAGGTTCAGGTTCAGCTTCAACTTCAACTTTAGGTTCCGACTCAGGTTGTGGTTGTTCCTCTTCAATTTTTTTAGGAGTTTCTTCCTCCACTGCACTGATTGAAAGCGTTTCATCGAACGACTTGAAACTCTCCTCTTCTATATCCATTTTATCTTCCATTATGGAATTCTCTGTCGGATCTGGTGCTGGATCACTGCTACATGATTCATTTGATACTGTCACTTCCACTGACATCTTAACATCTTCAGACATTGTCTGCTGAAAGCATATAAAGTAAAGTTGAGGATCACTTGGGGATCACTGCGCGAGAGAAATCGTAGGTTTTGAAAAAGTTAGGTTATAAATAAATAGTGTCTGCATGGAAACATCGAATGGGGCTTTGGAATGAGTAGAGCACGGTGCAAAGTCATCTTAACTGGTGTCTTGGGGCGATAGGAAGGGTTGTCATCGAATTGGGCCGCACGTACAGCGAAAACATGAATCTTTTTATGTAAATAGTTGGGAAGCAACGCTCGGTGACAAAATGGCGGGGACAACTATAAATAACAATACGACACCAGCAGAAAAACAAACTCGTCAAAAGTCAACGGATCCAAATTCAAAATTGCACTTCCACCGGGGAATCGAATGTAATCAGATAATACGTACTTTACTTGATCAGCTTGAATTTTTAGTAGATATTTTCTATTTAATGTCAGTATGAAAGTAGCACATTAGCGTCCGCTTCACTCCTCCAATGCGCTTGTGTTCGCTGCCAACACAAAAAAGCTGTGACGAGAAATCACTATATGCCTCTAGCTGCTGCTATAACCCCTCCACCCGAACGGAGATAGACCATTGATTAGTGACGGGCGAGGTTGCCAATACCACTTTACACGCAATTTCCCATCATTAGCCATCAATAATCGCCGAGGTTTTCCATCTTGACCACACTTTCATTCATAAATTATTCCTATATTTTCAATTATGCATCCATCAATAAGATTTTTTTTCCATCAAATTGGTAGCACAATTTCCAATTTCACCGAAAGGGCGCCAAACACACTATGCAAACTATTTATAAATATCTATGGTCACCACACAAAAAGGAACCGTTAATTGGCTCTAACCGCCTCAGCTACGCCCGCTTATATAATTAAACAGATCCTTTAATTACACTCAAACGATATTCCTTTGTCCTCCCTACAACAGACACAAATTTTACAATTACATAAAAAATAATTAAATAATTGCATAAAACAAAACTTTCCATTCCTATTATATTTATTTTCTTTTAATAAACTCTATTTATCTAACCACAATCTAATTCAAAAATTAGTTTCTCTAAAACTCCCTTAAACTGCTTAATTTTCATTTAATAAGTCACATTTATTATAATGATACAGGGTCTTGGATTTGTTTATCTGTCAAACTAGTGTCAACTTTACTTGGGAGCACGTGTATCCGGTATTGTTACCCGACAAAAGAACTATTTTTCGAAAATTTGACCTACTCCGGAAGTCCATTAATTTATCAACATTTTCTTGAATCGATCTAAGTTCTATTTTATGTATACAGAAATCTTAAACTTAGTTTAAGTCAGTCCCCAATGACCATTAGACAAACAATAGTGATATTTTAAAAATAAAAATACTTATGAAAACTTTCAATTTTTAAAAGAAGTTTATACTTCGCAAACTTTATCAACACCTAATTCAATTACAAGTTAAAAGCGAAATTTAGATTTTAATACAGAAGTATAAAAAAAGAGACATTCTTAAGAAATTAATTGAACTATTTTAATTACAACATTCTTGAATTAAAAAGAACAAATATTATCATAGAATTAATAAGTCACCTAATAGAATTAGTTGTTTTTATTAAGTAATCATTAAAAGTGTATTAATTTTCAATTAACAATATACGAAGGGTAATTATTATCTGATTAATATTATTGAGTAATCAATTTTTAATTTGTTGATTAAGAAAATGTCTTATTAAATTTTTAATAAAAAATATTGTTAAAATCGCAAACCAAAATCGAATGCAGTGAGGATCAATACGCGACGAAAGGGTGGCAGAAATAGGACAGTAATACTAATAAAAAAACAAATATTATTCATACAAATTTGAGAAATTTATACGTGATTTATATTTTTATAATTCCTTTTAGATTGCTTCAATAGAAACCAAATAGTTGGTATTAAATTGAATTTGTATTATATTTCATTTCCGGTTACCAATATCTTAATATAGTTAATCAAAAGGAGGTAGATGATACAAATATTTATATAATAGATATAAATACAAGTGTTTGCTTTTCGCAGTTATTATAAATAATAGATAATTCATGTAATGGATGGATATTAAACTTTGTATTTTAAATATGTAATTTCAAACAATGCTTGTGTACATTACATAAAAAAACAAAGTTAAGTTATAATTATTTAAAGCATTAAAGTAGATTATGAATTTTTCAAGTAGAAAGATAATTGTTGAGAGTGCAAACATGTTAATATTGTATAACAAAGTGCGCAACGTCTGCCAGAATGATGTTTATTCAGTTAGATAACGAATCGTTACGTATATGCATAACGTATTCAAGCATTTTCATATCCCAATTGGACGGTCTTCTGTTTTTTTTTTCTTTTCTTTTTTGTAAACTTGCGCCGTTGGTGGCACTGCACTGGAATTTTCGGGAATCGCAGTTGGCCGTCGTCGAGCAGCTGATATTTTAAATAAATCGTGAAAAGTTGGGAACAAAGAACGTTCGCAAAATTTTTTGTCATCAGTCAAGAATCGTCATCCAAGATTTGAACAAAAATTCGCACATCCTGTGACCAGCATCCAACGCAGAAACCGTTAAAAAGGCAAACGCACAAAAGGCACAATCAAAGATGGCAGATGAAGTGAGTATTTACAAGGTATCCAAAAATTGTCCCTTTTGAATCCATGAAACTGCACTGCTCTGTCACCTCAAGCAGGTTATCACAGTCCATTCCTATAAATCCATATTTTCCTCATGTTCTAGTATTATGAGAATGAGTCATACCCTGTTGATAGTACTGGGCTGTTTGTTGGTGATGTAAATAAAGAGAAGTATTATAAATCTAAGTATCGCACTGATCTCACTGATATGGTACACATCATAACCTAGCCATAACCTTATTTAATGTAATTTGCTACCATTTGCAGGATATCCAAATCACCTATCTCAAGAACGCTCTGGAAGGATGGAAGGAAATCATATTGCCATTGGACTCAATCATGCATTGGGAAAAGCACTGGCATCCTTTCAGCATTGTTGGAAGTAAGTGCTTGATGTTTGTTCTTATTGGAATTCAGATAAATCTTATTTTTATTGCAGGCAGTACCATGTTTTTCTTGATGGTCTGGTTGATGGATCCAAGTGTGCTGACCACTATTGCCCTGGTTGGATTGACCTGCACAATAAGTGATTATTTTGTTCCGATATTGGTCTCTTCTCTCCTGAAATCTGATCAATGGACTGACAAGCAGGAAGATAAGTTTGACAAGATCTGCAGATCATTGATCATCTCCAAAGAGAAGTTTTCCATAACTTATCGTTCATACATCCTCTTGAGATCAACTAGACCAAAGATGGTAAGTTTTGAAATAATTATGAAAAGTCTAATTGTTCATTAAATTCAATTATTTCAGTTCTATGGATTAACATTGGTCAGTCTGATGATTTGCGCGTGGATTGGAAACATCATCCACAATCTGCTCTTAATCTACATGGTGGTGACATTCCTGTTCTTGGTGCCTGGAATGGAGAAGAGAGGAATCTTGCAGAAGTACGGCTGCATCATTACCGACAAGATAGCCGACCTTGCGACCAATGCCAAGATGAATGTGTCCGATTTGAAGAAGGAGAAGTAAATACTTTGTTTTTTTTTTTAAATTAATGCAAAGGCGTACCAAGAAAACTAGATCTGGAATTTACGATTCGAACCTAGAGTAGTTATTCTCCTTCTTCTATTTAGATTGCATACACATATACATCTTTCACTATTAATATTATTATTATATTTTTTTTTTAATCTGAAAAATTTGTTAGCTTTAGGTTCATATTATTTATTTTTTTTATTTCGTGCATGATTTTCGTTATACGATTAAACCATTTTCATAATCGAAACGTAATTTTAATACTGCGTTTGCGTACAAAATAATTGAAATTATTTGTACACCAGTTTTCATATTCAGCGGAATATTAGACTGAAATATTGTTCATTATTCTTAAAGTATTCATTTTATATACGTTATTTTTTCCCTCCCCCAGATATATCTTCTAGTTGCTCAAACAACATTGTTTTTAAAGAAAAAAATTGTATCGTAATCCTCCACTATTTTATATGTACGTAAGAATTTGTATATGTGATATAAAACAAAATATATTTTTTGAAAATGTAAGAAAACTTGTTTTAATGCAGTTTTTATTAGCAAATACAAACGTCGACTTCTTCATTATTATTAATATTTTTTTTTTACAAAACAGAATGGTATTAAAATCTGAACATTGCCGCTAGTCCACGTCGATCAGATCTTCTAAGCGTTCGTCGAAGACCTCGTTCTTGAAACTACCTTTGGTTTTATTAATGAAACTGGATGAGAAATCCTCGAAAATCGTTTTACCATGTCTCTGAGGCGAGTCGTCTTTCTTGCGCCGCTTCACGCCTTTCGCGCCTTCCACCTTCTGAATCGACAAATAAAATAAGACGATTAATAAAGATTATTACGCGATCAGCGTTGGACCTTTGGCACATTTTTTCTCTCCTGTGATTTATCGCGCTTTTGATGGGCCTCTGTTACCGGATCCTTTTTCTTCTTCAGCTTTTTCACCTCTAAAGTCAGCTTTTCGATGTTCGATCTACAACAATAATATGCTTGAATAAATTGAATAATGAGTGAAAAGTTTCATTACTCCTTCTCCTCCAGTACTGACGACGTTTTATGTTGCACCTTTTGTATTTGGAAGATGGATTCTTTCAGTTGCTGCACTTCCGAAACAATATCGTTGAAATAGTTATGTAAAGTTTGGATTTCCTCGTGCGGCGTGTCGCTTCCTTCTCCAGGCTTCAATTTGGGTGATGGTGCTGTTGAATAATACGTTTAATATAAAGCTTAAGAACTTAAATTAAATCACTTACATGTACGTCTACTAACAATATGCATATACGCTCCACTTCGTTTCCTATCCCGTTCCTCTGAGACAGCTCTAAAAAAAATAGTTTGTAATTAATCTTATTAGAAGTGCATTTGGATTATTTGCCTTCTCATAACTTTAGGAGCCGACTTGGGTTGCGGTGTGAGCTTAGCGCTTTTTGTGCTCAGAATAGAAGCTTTGGACTTATTCAAGTAAGCTTTGGCCGAGTCCAATTCGCTCTGCAGCTTCTTTATGTTGAAGGTTTTCCCTCGCAGTTCCTCCCTCAACTTCTCGTTCTGCTCTTTGAGCAATATAATGTAACTTGCTCCGTGCTCAGAGACGCCCTGCCGGAATTGACTGGACTATATTTGTTGTAAAAACGATCAGTAAAATACGAAATGCGTGCTCATTTCAAATACCTTCTTTGGATCGATCAGATTGTCGATCAATCTGTGCTTAGCGTTCATCGAATCTTCCAATTTGCGGACCTTCACCTTCAGCATTTCGTTCTCGTTTTTCAGTCTCTGGTTCTGCCGTTTGACTTGGTACATTTGAATTTTGAGTTCTTCAACCTGCAACATTGTTCACGATCCATTAGTTCGTGCAGTTCGAACCGTACTGCGAATGTGCCTACCTCCATCTCAAATATTCTCCTTTATTCGTGTTTATTTTCTTTGAATTATAAACAGAATAAAGGAAAAGCTTTGAAGGTGTTTGAAGTTGTCTGGATGGTGTCAATAAACGTCAAGATGGAATAATGTTTGCTCCACGCATCGTGTGTTTCTATAACGATCATCGATCAAACACTTCAAATATTCAAATGCACACACACAGTTTGCACTGATGTTTGCTTAATTAAGAATCATTATAAATTTATATACACACATTGCATGGATTCTATAAGCAACTATAAATTTGCGATCTAAAAATAGTACAAATTTTTCTATTTAATAAAATTACAAATAAAATTATTAGGAATAATTATAACGAGAAATATGTAAAGAGAAAAGTTATCAACATGTATATTCGTTCAATACTAATAATTAGCAGTTGAAGAATTATATAATAACTAAGGATTAAAATGAACAGTTATTTTTATTAACTATATGTTGTGATTACATAAAAATGAATTTTCTCTTATTGAGCAGTTAATGATTACTCAACAACTACATAAGTCAAAAAGGTCAAAAAATATACAAATTAGATATAAGATATAAGTGTCACCTTTAAAACCTAGCATCGATTTTTAGATTTTTAGGTCCTGAAAATAACCGAAATTGTGAGCGAATTTCGCACGGTTTTTGTGAAATTTTGCTAAAATCGCAGTATGATAGAACAAATCTATTTTTTCTTAATAACTCGAAAAATAAATAACTTTTTTCTTATTTTATTGCATTTTTATTGTTGCGCAAGTTATTATGTAACAAAAGTTAGATAAATCATCAATTCAGAAAACCAGTGGCTGGCTAAATGTACAAGATGCGCAAGCTAAGTGAAGTATGGAGGGGAAAACAGAAGAAAAGATGTGTTCAGTATAATTTTGATGAATGCTTTAACTATTTAGATGATCGAATACTCAATTTAAAGCTGAAAGGCTCAGTTTTCCAACAAACATACTGACTTTGTGCATACTTTCTGTTGTCTTCCTTTCATTTGCTGCCTATCATTTGCTTCACATTTTCATTAATTTCAGGATAACCACAGAATAATTACATAATTCAACAACATATTTAATCTAGATATCATTGCCTTTCGAATGAACCTGCTGAAAAGATTCTAGCATCGTTATTTCGACTTTGATCTTGTAAATTATAGAAATTTTACAGAATTTATGTGAAATGTTGATAGTATGAAACAATTTTTTTTAATAACTTGAAAAGTAATAAACTTTTTTCGATTTTATTACATAGAAAATGCTCTGACAAAAGTCTGATTTGTCTCGAACAATTACAGTACGCTGTGTATGTTTGGTTGCAGCAACTGTAAAATTTTTCTTCTTTAATAACTCAAAAAATAAAGGAACAACCAATTATAAAAAAAATGTAACGTAATGAGGATTGTTCTTTTACTTTTGCATTATTTCTCAATAACTCGAAACTTTTTTCAACTTTTATTGATATGTAAGAGCGATGAAACAATTATGAAATTACATAATTCAACAAGAATCGTAAACTGGAGACTATCACTTTTCGTTTGAGCATGTTGTGGTCCTGAAAATTATCGAAATTTTGCTCGATTTTCGCGAAATTGTTTTCAAATCTAAGCATGTTAAAAAATTTAGATTTCGCTTAATAACTCGAAAATTTCTGATTTTTGTTATTGCATAATCGCAACTTGTTATGTAACGAACGTAGCGATTCGAAGAGTTTTTAGTTTTCCAATACTTTCATTAATCGAAAATTACATAACTTTTTCTGCTTTTACTGAATAGGAATAAGGATATAGAGGAAACAGTAATAGAGACAAAGAGAGAAAGTATCTGCTGCAAATATGGCATGATAAATGCCTGGACTCGGCGCCTAATCCCGCAAATAGAGGCCTGGTTAAGCAAAAAGCATGGTGAAACAACATTTCACTTGAGCCAGGCGCAGTCTGGTCATGGATGCTTTGGCAAGTACCTGCACTTTATCGCAAAGAAGGAAGACGAAAGGTGCTGGTACTGTGAGGAGGACGATAGCCCTGAGCACACACTTTTTAGCTGCAGATGGGCTGGAAGGAAGCACGAAGAGTGCGGAAAGCTGGGATATTGTAGCGGGGTACATATCAGAGGTGATACTAAGCAAAGAAGAAGACAATCGGAGGCTGCAGAGGACCTACGAGGATAGTGGCAGTGGAGGCCTGCATTAACATGATCTAAGGAAAGTGCCAAACAGGCAAAGACAATCAGCATCGCAGAGTAGTATAGTGATACAGGTTTTGTATGCTGACGAAGAAGGGGAGAGGTTTTAGTGCGGTAAGAATCCCACAGTATCACGACTCCACCCGTGGTCCCTATGTAAGGTTTCCTCTCTACACAAAAAAAAAGAGGGAGAAAGAGAGATCCAATAAAAATACGAATTCACATCATTAATTATGTTTTTTATTGTAAAATCACAAAGAATAAATCTAAAATTGTTTCTGAATCATCATCATAATATATGTTTGATATAGTTATAATATGTAATCGAGTATATGATATAGTATAACTTATATCCTAAAATTAATTCAACATAGCTGCTTCGCTGAGAAACAATTTTCAAACACAAAAAAAAACTCAAAATGGGGATACAAAATAAAAACAACAACATAATAATAATAATAATAAAACATAGTCATATATCAGGGGAGAAACAAATAGAACATAATATAATATAAAAAATTACAAACAAACGAACATAGAGAGAGAGAGAGAAAAAAAAAGATATACAAACAATCGAGAATCATCGTACTTTTATATATATTTATATAATAGTTTCACCATCTCCGTTCGTCTTTTTTTTTTCCCTTTTCATATTAAATCTTTAATTAAATTAATTTTCTCAACATACTTTATTATAATTATCCTTTTACATTGTTTATCATCTTTATTTTCTTGTTAAATTATTTTATTTATCCATCCATTTTTTGAACTGGCTGTTCATAAAATTCTAATACTGACGTTGGCACACAAAAGTCATCATACTTTTTTCTTTTTTTTTACTGTGGCCGATTTCATATAATTTTTTTTTGTTTTTTTTTGTTTTTTGATATTATATATTCAAGTAAGAAATAAGAAAATAGAAGGAAAAAAGGGAGAAAATATAGTTATAGATTTAGATGATAGATCGAGATTTATATATATAAAGAGAGAGAGAGCCTACACTATTGTGTGTTTGTGTTGTCTGCATCTTCATCTTACGATCCTGGTTTCCTTCTATCCTTTTTGCAAATACAACATGTTGAAGAATTTAAATTCAATTTTCTTTTCTTATTAGTTTTGTGCCCATAGTTTAAGCTAGAAATACACTACACAAGTTTCGAACTCGCCCGCTTCACCGTCCTCACCAATAAACTCTAAATAGTAAATCCTAAGTATATGTAAATAGTATTAGATATAGAGTATATGCGAATAGATAATAATAGCTATGTCAATATAATATATTTTTATATATGATACTTCTTTTTTTTTTGTTCATCTTCATCGTCGCATCTTCATAGATCGATTTTTTTTCATTTTCTCATATTACTTTTCAATTAAACTCTTGATTTGTTTCATTTATTTAAGTTGATCCCACTGTTTGGCGCCGAGGCCGTAGCATTTGATATTTTTTTATATTCTTATTAACTTTTTTTTCTTTATAATTATCATTTTTTTGTTATCATGCATTATTTTCTCATGTGCCCAGTTCCTCGTACGGTATCCTCCGCATGCACACTCGTTAACTTAACTGGAAGCAACCTAAGTTAGGCCAAAAAACAACGCGAATGTCCACCACAAACTAAGCAAATGTTATGTTACCCTGTCTCTTAAGAACAAAAAAACGCATCACACAAGATTATGATTTACAACGATTGAAAACAAATTAAGCACAAGTTAGATATGTCTCGCACAGAAATGAAGAGAGATATGCACATTATTATTTTCATTAAATATATATACTTTTTTTTTCTTCCTCTTTATATTAATTATAATATCATTTATTTACACGCGATTTGATAATTTTGAATAATTTCTTTCATAAATATATTACTTCTTCAACAATTACCTAACTCCATTAGACTAAGCTTTGATCCCTAACTTTCATTTGTGGTGGCGTTTGCTAAACAACAAAAGTTATATATAAAAAAACGACAAATATACAAAAAAAAACCAACTGTAATTTCCATCTTGTACCATCGAAACTGTGTGCGTTTTTTTTGTGTTTGTGTAGCTCTCTCGAAAGAAGACGAACATCTAGAAAGAAACGATTAGTTCGGAAATTACAGTCAGAGCAAGAAACGTAGTAAATAAGCTAAAGAGAAAAAAAAAAACATAAGAGTAGAATAAGAAGGAAAATAAATAAAGAAAAAAATGTAAAAATTATATGTAGAAATATGTTATTATTTAATATAAACTCGAAAAAAATAAAAATAATGATTCGATAAAAAGTTATAAAAGCAGAACTTAAATAAAAAATAAAATAAAATTATAGAGAATACAGCGTTCGTAATAAATGTAACCTGAGAAGCTAAGAAATACTCGAAAAGCTGGACCGAAATCCTGAAAATAATAATTAATGAGTAAAATAATACTACTAAAAAAAAATAAAATAAAGATAATACTAAAGCAGAAAAAAAAAATAATAATAGGAGAAATATAAACTTAATACTACTAAGAAAATGATTATAATATACGTTTAAATGTTAACTGATCGGAACGTATCAATCAGAAAAGAAACAAATCGACGATAAAAAAACGAAAGACAAAATTGATTGTTGTGCGCGCAATTCAAGTTGATTACAAATTCGAAAGAGAAGTAAACAACCACACGTATTTGTTTTTTATGTGTATATAACCCAATATAAATGGTTACACACTAATCCTTACATAATCTTAAACCGTTTCCTCTTTCTTCTTCCATCCGTTTATATAGTTTTGTTTTGTTTTGTTTTGTTTTGTAGATATTGACTTCGAATATATTTTGGCAAACGCATGCGCGCCTTTCCGTTTCCATCCTTCTTCTTTTTGATCCATCATTCGCATGCACAATAATATTATTATTATTAATAATATACATATTTAATTATAATAAGATGTGTGTGTTTTTGTGTTGGAACGAGAGAAAACTCAAGAAAAAGAGGGTTTTTTGTTCCGGAAAAGCGAAAAAATAGACGGAAACGACCGGAACGAACCGACACACTCTAGCATCGACTCGCATCGAGCGAAACCGGAAGGCATCGTCAGAAGAAAGAATCACGCAACTATATTTTGTTTATTTATATTATATAATTAATTTTTTTTTTTTGGGGCCCGAAGATTGAGTGAAGGAACGGAAATTCGAACGCGAGCTGTGGGCGTTCCAATTTCGTTTCCTTCCTTCAAAGTTCGGTTCGTGTTTTTTTCTTTGTTCTTTTCTTTCATGATTGTCAAAGTGTTTTTTTTTAGTTATTTTGTTTTTTTTAATATATAGTTATATATAGAATATAGAGAAAGTATATAATATCAAAGATTATACGATTAAGGGCGCGTCTCGTCCTTTCGTTTTCTTTTTTTTTTCTTGCTTTTTTTTTGTGTTTTGTTTCTTTTATTCTATTCTTCAGGCGCGCAACAGATTTTGCTAGTTCGTCCTTTGATTTGGGGAGCGCAGACAATCCTCAACTACACCGGACCAGTATTATCTTCTTCTACATCATTCTCGATCATTAAGATCATCTTTCCAAAAGTGCCAAAAATTTATAAAAATAAATCCGTTGGCTCTGCGCGCCCGAACTGTCTGCGTTCCCCCCAGGATGCAAACTATAATGTATATATATGTTGGTTTGTGTGTGTGTGTACGTGCGCCCTTTCAAATATTAACATTTTCTTCATTGTTTTCCTTTGCTTTACAACAGAGGGAGCACCGCAAATACCTGTAAACGGAAAACAACGTAATTAACGCTCCCCGCGTCACATAAATTATCATCGAATGAAGGGTATACCTAAACCCTGTGAACCCTATTACAATCTCTAAATAACTGGCTAAACAATATACAACTACAGTCCGCGAATACAATTCTAGTTCTGTTCCACATCTCGTCCACATCCTCAATAACCATTACATAACTAGCCGTTAAGATATACGTGTATAGATATTTATATATTAGATTCTCGAAGCTCTCGAAGCTCTCGAAGATACCCATAAATATTTATACATGTATATTCACTATATTATATATATGTTTTTATAAATTTCTCGCGTGTTTCATGGCCTAAGTCCGCCCAGCGGGGTGTGGTCTCGCACCAATCACACGTCTATAAACTTACAAAAAATAACATCATCATCATCATCATTGCGGGCCTCTCAAATATTCTTTTTTTTTTCTTTACATATATATTTCATACATATTTAATCTGATTTGCTTTAAATATTATATATTTATGTATATATTTATATATATATTTATTTATTTTAAATATATATAATCTCTAAACTTTTTTTTCCTTAATTATTAAAGCCATCCAATACTGAATAGACTAAACGCAAACAAAACTAATTAACAATATAAAAATATTTATATAAACGGAAGATTTGAGTCCATAAGGATAAAAAATAATAATAATAATACAAGATAATAGCACAGACGTGATTACAATACTAAACAAAACTTAGGAGCTAAGTAATAAGTTATTATCGAAAACTTATCAAACGTAAAATGAACAATACTAGCTATACGATACTGATTTGTCTCTTATCAACCTTTTTTTTGTTGCTGTTAACCATTTCATATGCTTTTTACACAATCCTCGACGTCATCGTTTAGTGCGATTTCTCTTCCTTATTATTACTTTATAATTATAATAATATAATATATATATAATGCCTGTTCAGACAGTCTCTGTATAATTTTCATTATGTGTATATATATATAATTATTTTTTTTACTTCATTTTCAGTTTAGTTTTAGGTTGTTTTTTTTTCTTCTTTAAATATACTTTATATATATATTAATAAATAAAGTTTCGCGCGCGCTTAGCTAGCTACTTCACGGGTGTAAGGGAGTAAGGGCTTTGAACCAAATCCGTAGCTGCTGTGTTGGAATGAATACTGTGTTAACGAGACCTTCTATATTATATGCTCGATTTTGAGAACGACACTCGCAAGTGATTTGATTCTGATAACTGGTAATTGTGCATTTTGATCAATGCGACGACCGCCTCGTCCATGCTTGGCAGCTGGATCAAAGCCATCTTCCTGTCTTTCCTGCAAATCAATACAACTTTTAGTTACAACAAGAGAAGCAAATTTAGTGGAATCCTTCAAACTTACGGGAAGAATTTGAAGGCCTTTACGATGAATCCGTTCTTGTTGAAAGCGTCCTTGATGTCTTCCTCGTTGACAGTAGCCGGTATGTTGCTGAGATGGAGCGTCGCTGATGGCGGATAGATGTTCTGGTAGTTCTTGGAACCAGGCTTTTTGAACCTGTGCAACGGGCTCTGGCTGTAATCTTTGGTTAAACCAGCATCTGGTTGTCCCTCCTTGGGCATCTGCACCGTCTGGTGTTTGCTCAACATTACCCTGATATTTTTACCAAACACCCTCAACTTGTCCATGTGCGTAATAGCTGCAAAATTAATTAAATGAAATAATATGCAAACAATTTGAGTAAATCAGATTAAGAACAAGTCTTACCTAAATGAGCTTGATGAGGTTCGGCCAATTGAACCAAAGCGGAATCTTTCTTGTTGTACAAAATCTTCACCCTTTGCACATCCCCATAGACACCTAAAATAATGCCATCAATTAGAAGAGAATAACACGACACATCCTGTCATAAATTCAAGCAGACGTAAGAAAAAAAAAATCAATGAGAATATTTCGTTTGCTTGTAAATTCTACAAAACTGAAGCCGGATTTACCTTATCCGCAATTAATAATTAAATCAAAACTGTAACAAATATTTAATAATAATAATAATTAAAAAAAAACGCTTAAAATCTAAACTAATGAAATAAATAAGAGAGATTAAATGTAGAGAATTTAGAAAAAGTTTGGATAAACCATGCAATAATAAAAATGAAATAAACGAGAAGTTTTCGAACGAATCTTGGGTGTACAAAACATCGAGTGAACCGGACAAGACTAAGGCAGAGTAAGCTTCGTTTGAGAAACAACACAAATATTTCACGAAAACATATAACATCAACTTGACGAGACACAAAGAATGAAATTGTTTATTTTTTTTTTGTTGTTGCAATAAATAAAATAAACTTTTTTTGTTTGTGATATAAAAGATAATTATAAGAATCCAACTCATTTCATGTTTCATGTTCTGTAAATAGAATGGTTGTAGTATGTTGTCTGGGTGTTAGATTGGATTAGGAAAAGTATTAAAAAATATATATATAAATCAATCAATCAATCAACATACCATGCGTAGTTTGAAAAAGTAAATAAATAAAATAATTGTATGAATTGGATTATTAATCTGAGTAATCTTTTGGTATGTTATGAAAGCGTTGCAGGCTCAGGTGAAAATACATTTTTGGCAGCTGCTGCAACACTTTCAAGATGAACTAGATGATATACTTAGTTTGATAGTAGCTGTGCACACGTACCAAATAGGGTAAAGAGAGCGTCAGGCGTGACCATCTACGAAAGAGAAAGATGACAGTAGTAATATGTAAAAAACGGAGTACACAGAGGGAGTTATTAAAATATAATAAATAAAATTAAAAAAAAAACAAAAACAATAAATAAATCGATATGTTTACAGCAAGTTTAGATAATAGATTTATATGAAGGTCAGAGATGAATATTATTAGAGATATAAAAGCTGTAGAAATATCGATGTTATTGTATAGTACTTTTGTTTTACGTACTTAGTATATTAAAATAAATATTTGAAATAAATGAACAAACACTACATTAGAATGTCAGAAGCGTTTCAATTGAAAGTCATTAATTGCAAACGAAAACACAAACAGAAATGAAAAAAATACTGCTACGAAAATCATAAATAATTTAAAAAAATATATAGTAACTACATTAAAGTAAATGTACCAAAAACTGTATTAATTTTTATATAAATATATAAAAAGAATGTTAGATATAGTGATATATATAATTCAATACCTTTGATGTACATTTACTTACTAATAATTCATTTGCAATTAATGACTTTTGTATGCAGAAAAATATGTTCGAAGGCCACAATATAGATGAAATTATACATTAAAATGAAAAAAAAAAACAATATTTCTGTGGACGGTAAATACAATCTAATGTTGTGTTTAGTGAAACGAACAATAATGAAATTAAAAATAATAATAAACAATCAAGATTGTTATTATCAATTTGAAATAAGAAATAAATGAAATAATAATAATAAAACTTCAAGAAACATAAAATTATTAGTACTAGAACTCGAATTCAAATATGGTACTGTACAAAATTAAATAAGGGTTGTTGCCTTATGCAATGATTTAGTCTGATTGGAAATATTGCATAAGAGATCAACGCTGGAGAGTTAACAGATTTGGAGCTTTGTTTAAGAAGATTGAGTTAGTATTGTTTTTTTGTTGCTGTTGCAGGATGACTTACTTCTTCGTTGAGATTGCTGACTAACAACACGGTGGCTAAAGAGAGTCCCGGCGTTGCGAGACCTCTCAAACCTGGGGTTGTCTGGCCGAGGGCGAATCCTCCTAGGCCGGGAATACCACCGGCTACACCACCTGCGTATGGGGTAGCTAATGGGGATGCGAGGCTGTGCATGAACGGACTGCTCAATACACCTGGAGCACCAGCTAATAAAGAATCTAGAATTAAAAATAATTACACGGAACTTTCTCAATATTTTGCTATTGGCGTATTGCCACTGTTTATGTAATTTAGATTGATCGTTACCTGTCAGTCTTTCCCTAGCGAGTCTAGGTTGCGCTGCTAGCAAGAGGATGTCTGCGCCCAGACCTCCGGCTAAGCCTCCTCCTAATGTGGCCAGTTGGTCATTCGAATCACCTGTTGGAAGGTTGGGATTCGTGTAGTCTCTAGACTTGTCGTTATTATATTTGACGTTGAGGGCGGTCATCTTCGAGTAGTCGATGCGGAGGGTGCAGCAGCTGTTGTAGATGTTCTGGCCATCCAAGGTTTGCTTAGCTGCCTGCGCGGACTGCGTGTCCGGGTACTGGATGAGCGCTTGGAATGAATTGTTCTTGGTGAAGGTGACGATCTTGAGGACCTTGCCGAATCGTTGAAATATCACGTGGAGTATTTCTAAACTGATGGGATAAATCATGTGCTCGATGATGACTCGGAGGACGGTGTTTGGACCGCCTTGGATGTCCTGGCCGTTGGTCAGCGGCGTCACAGGTGTTACAGCTGGAGTGCCTCCTGGTTGGGTTCCGCTCATAGCTTGTGCAGCTTGAAGGGCTGCTTGGGCCGAAGCGTTCTGTAACAACACATTCATTTACAATTAATTACATATTTCACAACTATTACAAATTTCAACAAATAATATTATTATTTCTATTTTATATAAAAACCTGTAAAAGCTATGGAATTCTAGGAGAAGTATTGTTTCAACCATAAATAGTTTTGAAACTCATTTAATATATGAAGTTTTCAACATATTCAGTGATGCATGTTTATATTAAACTTGATTACTAGAAATGTGAGGCAATTTTGGCAATCACTTTACTGGCGTTATAACATACGTCCGAAACTATAGCGCAGCTATGAACATAGCGTTAATTGGTTTTGACCCCAGGATTTTTCGGGTGGTTTAACCCATGATGCGGGGTGGATGAGTCAGAGAGACGGTCATAATAAAAAAAAAGTCTTAATGGGCAATTATGATTTTGGCATCGGGGCAAAACCGAAAATGATGCAGGTAAATGCGTTATATGTTCGCAATGCGGTTTTGAACCGCCGTTCTAATTATACGCAAATTCAGCTGATAAACCGCCGCCATAACTGACACACCGAAAGCCGCCCCCGAATCCCCGACGAAATTAATATACAATGAAATAATCCCCGGGCCTAGACCATCCCCTTCCAACCACCACATCAAAACCAACCCCCTCCCCCCGCCACCAACCAGTTTTCCCGCCGTAACTGGATTGCGATTTAATATTTAAAAATTAATTTCCGCTTTTCTTTTTTTTTTTCTTTCTTCTCCTTCTGTTACGCCTGAAATTATTGCAATAACGAGACGAGAGCCCATCCAAAACGAAGATAGGGACCGAACCCAACCCTCATCTCCTCCAAGGGAATGAAGAAACAAGTACTTCGCATTATTATTCATTCGATTCGAAATCAAGGCAATTATTTTACGACGGGAAATTTAAAGGAGCCGACACAAAAAAAAATCCAATTTTCCCTCAACAAGATGAGATCCCCAAAAGTTTTGGCATTGTTATTATTATTTCATACACCATTTTTTTTTTCACTAACCCTCGTGATTTGCATTTAAACGCTCTTCAAATTAGAACTTTTTGATGGACTCTAGAAATTCAATTTCGTTAAACTGATGATCATTAGCGCCTCTTTCTCTTCATATATATATACTTTTTGTTTGCAACAAGCTAATGGTATGCTTTTTATCATTGTATTTGCGTAAGTCTGCCAAAAAATGTCGGTATAAAAGAGTCTTTCTCGTTTTTATTTTATTTTCTGTGTATACGGGAGTTGGAAACAATAGGGGCACGAAATCCCCACTGCTAACAATGCGGGAGTCATTAACACTTTGAAAGTGACCAATTACGAGGCGAGTGTTGCTCGGTACGTCATTATCTTATACCTCGCAACACTCAGGGCTATATTCCCGCAAATCCCTGATACCTATACTCCATGTCCAAATAAAAAAAAAGAGGGGAAGGCGCGCCACAAAGACCCTTATTTAATTAATTATATTTCCACTGAAAATAATTAATTCATGCAGCGCTAACATTCCATACAATTATTAATTTATTAAGTATTTATTGTAATTATATATGTTGGAATACCAACATTAATTAAAGTCGCCACGAATAGTATAAAAGAGCAACATTGTAAACATAAATCAGCTTCAAGATGGATGTTTACCTGCAATTACCTATATCTTGTTTGAAGATTTCTGGGATGTGGCCCATCGATCACGAGAGTCCCAAAATGTACAAGTACTACGCTTATACCATTCGTTGCCTTTGCTTCATCGGGCATATATTAAATCACAAGAAAATAATTTCATCGTTCAATACAATTTCGATGGAAAATTTCGCGCCTATGGTAAGCGTTAATCTCTTGCACATAGCGTTTTTCATGAAAATTCGATCAATTTGGAACACCTACAACCATGGTTTAGTAACGGAAATACGAGAAACCGAAGCCAAAATCTTTAAAAGTGGAGATTCAAATTTAATAAACATGTATAAGAGGAGTTGCAAGATTTGCAAAGTATTGAACTACATCCTAATCATTTGGGCACCTTTTGTGGATATTTCCTTGATAGTTACAGTTCCGATCATGACCAATTGCAAATTAGGTTCTGAATTTAACTGTACGGAAAGCACATTCTCTTACGAAATTTGGCTACCTTTAAATAGGTTTGTAATTAATAATTATAAGACAAATATAATCATTTTTTTTTTATATTAGGGATAATCACTTTAAGATAATTTGGATTGTAAGTTCCATGTTTCTATCCTACATGGCAGTGATTGTCGTCGCCGTTGATAATTACCTAATAGCACTGTTGATTTACATCTATTTCCAACTGAAGATAGTTTGCTATTACTTCAAAACCATAAAGTCGGACGAACGTCCTGAAGTCATTAGGGAAACGCTGCGGCGGAACATTATAGCCCATAATAAAATTATTACGTAAGTAACGAGATTTGTTCGAAATACTAGATTCTGTGTTTTAATTTAGCTTCGCGCAAACTCTCGATGATAATATGAGAAATGCCGTTTTTGTCGACTTCGCTATTGCCTCTGTGCGTTTGGGATTGGGGAAGTTCTACATAGGCGGTTCCGGGGGATTCGAATTATTTTCAGCTGTGCAATACTTCGGCATCCTTCTAACCGAGCAATTCTTCTATTATTGGTGCGCCAACGAGGTTTCCTTCATGGTAAATACGTAATTCCAGTCTCAAGGAGTTTAAAAAAAACTTTTCAAATTTCTAGAGCACTGAAATCCATGACGCCGTCTGGATTACAGATTGGTATAATATCTCACCGAACTTTATCCGAGATCTACGCATGGTTCTCATGAGATCACAGAAACCAATTTATATGCATGTAGGACCATTCTATACAATGACCATAGGCTCATTTATTGGGGTAATATCAATTTTATTTTCATATTTTTCATATTTCAGAAAGACATTTCCACTTTTAGTTTTTTCTATAATAAATCTTATTTTTTTCTATCAAATATTTCCATTTTTGTCTAGTAAAAAGGCATCTCATTACACAACTTTCTATGTATATTTTACATATGTTTTTATTTGATTAGGAGCAACATTTTGTACAACATTCTAGTATTAAAGTCCAAAACGGAGCATTGTTAACAACGATATAATGGAACTATAACGTAGTCTGATTAATTGCTATATTTCATAATACAAATAGAACGTGGAGTTTATGTAGGTCCATATAGCGTAGGAACGGAATTAACTTGGTTTTATTTTAGGTGCTTAAAGCTACAATGAGTTACGCAACATTGTTGCAGGCGACGCAGGAGGACGGTCCTGAATGATTCCCAAATGCGGCATAAAAGTAATGAAGCGTCCTTCATGTGTTACATTCTTTAGTGAAAATCATAATAAATTTAAGATCTCGCAGACTTTATATAACTAATTAAACTAATTAAATTTTAAAATAATTCAATCAAAAGGAAAATCATTAATTGTATTAATTTACACTAAATCTAGTCAACTGTAATCAATTATTTCTCGTTCATTAATTTTAATTTAATGCGCAAATAAATGTATTTTTTTAATAAATATAAATGATTGAAGATGTATGAAAATATTTGGTTATTTTCAGAATTAATATTTGTATTTGAAGGGATTTTTTTTTCATAACAAAGAAAAGTTGGTTCTATTGATAAAGGCCACTGGATTATGAAGACTACAATGCGAAGGGTTAATTAGTCAAAGGATTTTGCAGAAAATATTTACAATTCGGATGTAAGCATATTTAAATCCGAAGGAGCGGTAAAAATAAAAATAAAACGAGGATTGGGTTGGGCTCTGCCACAATGGGTTGAGAGAGAGACAATGAGCCTGAAATCAGCGTTTAAAATTTCCATGACAATAGAGGATGGGAAAACATGGATTAGCGGCGTGAAGCCATTTAACCACTGGCCGCAGCATTTGTTTCCCACCCCCATCACGCGCTAATTAGTGAATCATCCCTCACAGCGATGTTTCATTCAAAAAAAATAAATAAATAGAAGAATAAAGGAAGAACACCTTCCGCTTTCATTTGTATTGTTTTTTTCTTCTTATTCTGTCGGGTTAAAAAATGCGATTACGTAAAACTGGCAGAGGATAAACGGGGGTGGCCGTGCATCATAATAATAAGTGGCCTCATTAATTTGCTTCTACGGAAAGGCGTGTGTAACAGAGACAAAGAGAGAGAGAGTTTAAATTGCAGGCGTAAATCAATTAAAAATCGGTTTCGGCGAGTAATTCTTCCGTCTTAATTGAAACAGACACGCCTGTTTCCCTGTGCTCGGCCCTTTCATTTCGGACGCAATTAAAAAGCTATTTGCAATCTTTTAATGGACCGCAAATTGAAAACGCAGAATACGAGCCACCTCCCTTTGAATACAAGGAAAAACATCATTACGCTTAATGGAAATGAATCGAATTTGAACAATTGCGGTGATGGTGGATGCGCCAGGCGAAGAGGAAACACATTAATTTCGATCGGGACGAAATTTTTTGACGTGGACAAAAATAAAAATAACCTCCGTCGAGGAGATTGATCCTGAAGCTACCCCAGGCAGCATCATTTTGTGTACGAATCGCCGGCAATTTCATACAAACGCCGACTATTAATCATGCAACACTCGCAAAAGGAAAAAAAATATATATATAACAGCGAGCCTTGTGTGTGTGTATCTATTGGAGCTACAAAGAAAGGGCAAAAAAAAAGGTACAACATTGTGTACGGATGGAAAGGTATTTGGTGTACACATCCACCTGTTCCATTTTTGCCTTTCATAAATGATTCTCAAAAACTTGATATTTATCCACAATAAATACACGCAGCTGCTCCACTTCGCGTTTTCTTCCGCCCCCTTGGATGTTTTGTTACTTTTGTTATTGCTATCCAAAGAGGGTAGAATGAAATATCTATATTTTGATTAATGTTCATCGGATTCTCATTTTTTTTTGTGTATTTCAATCATTTACTAATATTTAAAGGAATCAACAACAAAACCTTCTAAATTAAATATTAACATTTCCTTTTCACAAACTTATTATGACATTTTTGTGATATTATGAAATAGTTGCAAACTTTCATACTTTACATAATATACAAATATTTAAGTTCCAGTTTAAATTTTGATGTAATTAGTCACTTCTTTTCGACTTACGATAGTTCTGAATCGTCGGACATAAGTCGAAATTAATATAAATTAAAATTTATATAATAAAAACTATAATGGACAAATATATGAAAATTAATTTAATTGACTTTTTTATCGTAAGTGCGAAAAAACGTAAGTTATGGTAAATCAACTAAATATTAGATAAGTGAAATTGTGTATAGTAAATTGAACTTTAAAATACTGTTGAATGGTAAATGTATTTATATGTCAAAATTAATATAATTGTATTTCCTTTTGTCGCAAATGCGAAAAGTCGTATGTCGAAAACTTATTGTATATCAAGATAATGTTAATAATTTATTGATAATAATTTATAATTAATACTGCGATTGAAATATAAATATTAAGTGATCAGTAATTATTTAAATTTTACTTATAGATAGGTGTAATTGTGGACAGTAAATTGAACTTTTAATTACCCTTTTAAATACTGTTGAATGGTGAGCAATAATGGATGTTCTGTATAATTGGTTGATTTTAATAATAATGAATTAACGAGCGTGTGCGTTTTGAAAAAAAAAAGAATCAATTAATGTGTGCAAACATAATGGGCTAATGGGCTGAAAAAGCAACAACAAAGTATGTTCACGCAAAAACGGAAATTAACGCCATATACACACACACAGACAAACGCGCGCGCGCCGCAATTAAATTTTAAATGAAATTATTATATAATTGAACGCGCGGCCGGCAATTAACACCAGCCGCGGTAATGGCTTCAACCTGGGACTATCACCCTTTTCTCCATCCCCTCGGTGAAAGAGTTTTTAAATTAAAAAAGGTAAAATTGATAGTAACTTACGGCATTCGAGTGCGTTTGATCGGTTTTGAGCTCCTTGTGATTTGAGTATTGGACGTAGACGGCTCTGCCCCTGAGCTGAGCCATGCAACTTCCGAAGTAGTTAACCATCGTTGTTGCTGAGGTCTCGTCGCCCATCTCGAGGAACGCCTGGTTCTTTCCCTTCAACACCAGCACGTTCGTGACACGGCCGAAAGGTATACCCAGGTGGATTATCTCTGCCTCGGTCACGTCGTTCGGGATGTTCCTGATGTGGATCACCCTCGACGGCTTTCCTACATTCTGCTCCAGTTTAACCTGTTCAAAACACAAGAAACAAAGTTGATTAAAAAGTTTAAACATATATTATAATTTAGTAAGTTGTTGCTTTTATATTACAGTTACTAATTATAATTAGTGGTGGAACTATAAGTGGCCCAAATAAAAATTGTTTAGGACCCTCAAGTACTAAAAGTAACTGTTCTCTAGGGCCCACGACTTTTTTAATGTGGCCACCCCTTTCATCTTTTTTTAACTGTTGATTGGGACTCTATGATTTTCTATATTTAAAATCAGAGAAAAATTTGCGAAATGACATAAAATTTGTTTAAGTACCCCAAATTTGATTAACCCTTATGAATCCACACCTGGATACTTAAAAAATCACAAATATTACAAATATATTTCAGGTGGGACAAAATTTTAAAATTTTGCCACTGCATTATACTAAATATTAGGACAAAAAGATCAATAGATGTGGATGTAGAAATAAAAATTTCCTTTATTTATTGTTGTTTTGTATATTTTTCACTTAATTCCTGCTACATTAGGAGCATTTACTTAAAAAAAAAATATAAAACACATCGAGTTTTATTTGTAGAATTTGAATGGGTAAATTCGTGAAATCATAAATCCATCAATCAATGAGGAGTGTACGGGAAAAAAAAAGTCTGAACCTTGTAAATCAATCTCCGGCCAAATTAATGAATGTTCTGATAATAAAGTTTGAAACAAACAAACAAAACAAAAAATAGGGGATGAAATATATACAGAAAAAAAATTATATATAGGAATAATTGATGGGCGGATTCGATATTGCAACTTCACCTCAGTAATTTAATTCCATTAATAAAAGCTACACAAAATACACGGACGAGTATATTTACTCCGGGCGCGCGATGTTTCCTAACTTTTTTTCGCTTGCTTTTCAACCGCGTGCCCGAGTTATGAGTTTCTTTTTGTCTGCACTCTATCGATTAGTTTCTCTCTCTCTCTCTTTCTCTCTCAAACACACGTTTTTTTGCTTTGTTTCCGACCATTGTCGATATTAGCACAATGCCATCATCGTGTATGTAGTTACGCAAAGCGAAGGGTTGGGATGAAGGGAAAAGCGAACAGTTTTCGGCTGGATGGAAGTTTGTTTTGTTTCGGAAAGGACAAACAACAGCTCATCATTTTTTCAACGATTAAAAGTTAGTTATCTCGTTTTCCCTACATGCTACGAAATACAACAATCCCCTTTTCACTCACATCAATTATTCTGTAAAAAAAAATCCGTTATGTAAGTCAAACGTTGATTCATTAGTTGCCTTTGTTTAGTTCGGTTTTATTATTTATTATATTTTTCTTTTTTTTAATTAAACGACGTTTCCTTTTGTATTAGGTAAAATGTTGGTGTGGTTATTAAAGATTGATAGTATAAAAGGGACGCCCGACGGCAAAAGGGAAAGATGGGATAAAGTTTTCCGAGGAAGGGAAGGGCCTTTTCTCTTTCGTTTTTAATTATATCTTAGTGGTTTCGACGAAATAATGTTATCCCGTTAGCGGCGGACATAACTTTGCGGCGTTGTCGTAAAGAACGCGATATTAATTACAAGAAATAAAGGCCGCAACAATGCAGCCGAGGATCGGACAGAAAAGACCTGAAGGGTGTATGTGTGTTGTATCTATGTATGAGGATCTGGTATATATGTGAACAGTGATAGGAAGAGTAGAGAAAAGTAAATTTCCTCAGGAAACTTCCCATAAACCAACATGTTCTGATCTCCTCGACCAGTGGACAGAAACAAAGAAATAGATTTTTATCTCATCAGCTTGTAATAGTTTTCCACCCTCCTCGTTCATTCCCGTGTATCGGCAAGAGATCAACTTTTAGCACTATGTCGGTCCCTGTTTTTTTTTTGTCTCATCCCCATCATCTCCGGATCCGTGCTTTGTCCGCCCAAGGCCCTTTGATAATGGGATCAAGTTCTTCTTCTTTTTCTATTTTATTTTATTTATTTATTTCCCCTCCCGGATCTTCTTTTAGCCGCCTCAGGTGCGGCATTAACAAAGAATCCTCAGATGTCGCAGCATGCAACTACGGTTTCATTCGGTTGGTTTAATTAAACGTGTCATGAGCCATACAAACCCGCACACGCGAAAAGGATTTAAGTTGCTCGAGGGAAAAACTTTTTTTTTCACGGTGAAAAATTACACTCCAAAATGCGGAAAATGAATGAAACCGGAGGGTGGAAACGCCTGCCACAAGAAGTGCAATCGTAAATCAAACATACCGAGGGTACAAAGTTTTAAACCCCAAAAAAACAAAAAAAAAAACTTTCCGATTTAGAAATTAAAAACTTAGACGCATATTGCACACGCAATTCTAACATAGTCATAAAATTCAATATTTTTTATAATTACAGCAATACCTCGCTTAGTGCGGACTCAAAAAATATGTTTTTTTCCTTTATATAGTTAAGTCTCTTTTTGTCCGTTTTATTTATCTATTTAATTAATTTTTCGATTAGTCCGGTTTTAAACAGTTTGGATGAATCTATAACCCACACTGTGCGAGATATTGCCTTTAGAAATGTGAAGAAACTATAGTTAGTATTCTTAGGTTATGATTATTTAGTATTTTGAATGAAATAAGTTGAAAATGAAATGAAAAACAAAAATTCAATAGGAAATATTTCAAAATCCTGGTAGAAATAACGAAGCTAATTGCACTTATCTACGTTTAAGCAAGCAAATCACAATAAGAACTCTATTTTTATGAAATATCAGTGACATTCTGAAAAATTTAAATCAGAAAGAATTTGCAAACGTTTAAAAAAATGTTACTTTGATTTTATAATCATGAATGAAATGCGATCCGTTAGGTCATTGATCTTAGCTCCAGAAAATGTTAAATTTAATGTGTCATTTTGCATGTATTTATATTTTCGTGTCGTTTACGAGTAATTCCATGTATAAAAAAACATGTTCCACGTATTTAACTGGGAATTAAAAGCGCAAATGAAATGTTACATAAACTTGTAGCAGCGTTTTGTAAAATATTAAATTCACTGCAATAAATTCGCTGTTGCGCTTCGTGCCGCTGCTCTCCTCATTAAAATAGCTTATGCATTTTATTTATTATTACATACTTCAAAACTCATATTAATATCGCTTATTTGTATATTTTCGCATCCGCTTGAAACTAGTTTTTTTAATATATTTATTTTGGTGAAACAAGAAATTAATACATGCTTCGAGTAATACTTGAACTGGATTATTAAATACGCTCATGCAGGAAAAATAAAATTAAAATATCTAAAAACAACTAATGTAGATTAAATAAACATATTATAAAACAAAGTTCGTAAGCAGCTTAAAAAAAATAGTAATTTAGAAGAAATAGCACGACAGAAAGAATGGAAGCTGTGGGCAAAAGTTAAAACCAGGAGGATTAAGAGCTAATTCCCTTGGGTTTAACGGTGGCCATGCAACAGAGTGAGAATCTGCTACATTCCCTTTAATAAAAAAAAAAAATAAGGGATGTCGAAGGATAAGGAAGTATATAGTAAAAGTGAATTGGATTCGAAAGAGGTGTTCGAGCCTTACCTTTTTGGCGCTTTCTTGATTGTTGTTGTCTGTGTGCGGGGCTGACGGAGCCATCACGGATACGTTGGACTGCGACAGTAATTCGTCGCTTCCTCTCTGCAAGTAAAAAATGGGCCACACGTTAATAACAATCTCGTGTGCATTACGTCGCACATTCGCCAGATCCATTCATCTGGACGACCCCCACACTTAAACAGGTCCCCTCCATCCTCATCTCCTTCTCAAGGAACAGTTTAAATCTTTCTCAAACAGGAAGTGGTCCACCCTCGAAATCCTCCTCATCTCTTGAAGATCAAAACGCTTCTCCTTCACATCCAACACGAAGAGTATCAAGGACAGTGTCCACCTGAGAGTAGTGATCACCTCTCGAAATATTAACAACAACTCTCAAGTGGACGCGAGCCTTTATAAATAGAAGAAATAGAAGGAGGACTAATGTCGTCATCCACCATTTTTCAACGACATTTAAACGTCATTCAAATATGGCGCATGACAACAACTTCGAAGAGAGGAGCAAGATTATTTTTTTTATGTAAATTTATTTAGCAAACTACCGGAAATTCGAAGACATAGACAAGCATAAGTATGTGTATAAAAATAAATAATTAAATAAAACAGAAAAGAGATCTACACAATCATTTCGAAATTTGATTTGTATATTGTTCTAAGTACCAACATAAGTAATTAGGTAAGCATGAAACACACACAAAAAATAAAAACAAAAAAATATATAATCTACGACATAACCACAAAACGATATGTCTACTAATGGTTTCAACGTTTTTCCAATTATTAATACAAGTCAAGAACTTACTTTAAGGGCGTAGCGGACTTCTTTAGCTTTGAACATAGTCAGTCGATATTTCAATTGGTTTATTTACTTTATTTTGTTAATAGTTATGATATGCGAATTCGCAACAAACAAACAATGACATTTGTTCTTACGTCACTAACTTTCAGCCTACTTTAATTTATTTTATTAAAGTGTAGAAATTTCATAATTGATTATTTTTTTTACAATATTTAAATTTAAATGAAATGCGTTAGATTTAGTTTGCAAGATTCTCGTTATGTTTATTAGTAAATAATGATTTCAAGAAATTGGGTTGAACGGTTAAAGTGAACGGAAAATGAGTGCATCATTTTTTTTTTGTTTTGCCTGGAATTCCGCGATGCGTCGGAACGGAATGGCGATTTCATTACATTATTTTTTTTTGCTATCGTTCTCTTTATTTGCCCATCCGTTAATTGGCAACCAATAACACATACACAAAAAAAAACAGCGTGGAAAGAACAACAGAATCCATCCGAGCGGATAAACTGCGCATCGAATTGCGCTCGAATAAATATTTATTTGTTTCCGCCAATAATTTTAGTTTTATTAGAAATACTTTAATTGCAAACAAATAAAAAAAAACATATATAAAAATCAAAACAATAGAAACCATAAACGAGGATTTTTTTGTTATTACTTTTTTCATTTAATAAAATAACGGGTTTATTCATAATATTCATGTTTGCTTCTAAACAATAAATAATAAAGTTATGAAAACTCATGATTAAACACTACGTTTTGTACTGTTAATTCAGTTTTAAACTGCATTTCCATTTCAAATTAATTATTTTGTTCATAATAGTCAGCAAAATGAATTTAAACCGGTAAAGTTATTCAACAAATAAATTATTTTGTACTATGAAATTAATATAGTTTTAGTCTATTTTAAATTATATTTAAATTGTTTCGTTCATACATTTTGATTTATAAACCGGTAACCGATAATACGAATAATTCAATACATTTAATTTAGTTTTAGTCTACATTTCCATTTTAAATGTAATTGCAATTGTTTGGATGCTGCGCATAACCAAAGTGGTTACGTTTTGTTTTGATCCAGGAATGCTAGATATTTACTCATTCGGTAATGTTTTGTTTTTTTTTTTAATATTTTTTACGTTGCTGGGAAACCGGAATTCGTATTATAGAATTCCCGGTGCTTTCATCATTTTCCCATGGACAGGAGAAAAACAAATTAAATTGGAAACAAATAATTTTATTTTGAAAAAAAAAACGCGTTCAGAAAATGAAATATAAAAAATTGATACGTTACTAATAAATAGTTGATCAGAAGGAATAACCATTTGTTTCGGCTATAAATAATTCGAGGTTTACGTTTCATATTTTTTTATTATTATTTGTTTCATTTATGTAATACTACTGGTAGAATGGACAACATTTATCGCGCTTCTGCTGTTTCCATTCGTGTGGAGCGTTTGTATTATTTGATTATACATGGGACATGATAAATGGGGCTGTGTTGTTTTTTTTTGTATTCAACGAGAAATATTAATGTATATAATATAAAATATTTATTACGAATACCGCCAGCAATCAATCTTTCCTTTACTTACGTGCAATTTAATCTACCTTTTTTAGTTCGTGTTTGCTTGTTTCAACACACGAACGATTAATTTTATGAATAATAGATACAATAAAAGTGGAATAGAATACATATTTTGAGATTTTAATAAAAAAATAATAATTCACAAATTTTTGTAAATCATTTTAAACAACATTTCAAGTAAATATGAACATTATTTTTTCATTAAATCAAATTAAAGTTAAAATCCAATAAAAATTTGAAAAAAAAACATTTTAACAATTATTTTAAACTTTTGTCCCATACTTGTCCAGAACTAAACTACGTTCTATTTATTTTCTCTTAAAAGTTCCGAGGACTTTAAATTTTAACGTAATATATTGAAATATTATAGAGTTATAAAGATTAAACTACTTTTTTTTTATATAATAAATACAATAACAAATTTACCAAACTTTAATACATATTACTAAACATTATTCAATTAATGATAATAATATCATTGTGGGTTATTGCATTAACAAGAAACTAACGAAATAACTGATTCAAATTGTATTTGAGACAAAATATTAAAGAAATTTGTGCCATTATAAAACTGTGGACTTGTTGCGTAAACATCGATTTTGTGTTGTCTGTGAATGATGAGGAAGGCGGCGGCGGTGGTTGGTAATACAAGAAAGGGAAGAGACAAGTTCAAGGCTTAGCTTGATAAATAAATTCGTAAAACATTCTTTCATTTATTCATTGATCAATAATAATCCCATCGTGCGAGTCGCGTGCTTAGGGGAGAGAACTTTATCTCCTGCTGAAGTGAATTTACCTTCTGGAACCACTCGAATAGGGGATGAGGCATGGAGAGAGAAAGAGCATCGAGGATATAAAATAAAAGGGAGTAGCAGGAGGAAGATTTCTATATGTATGCCCATGGAAAACATTTTTCTGGAGCATTGTTTGAGTGCGTGATGCACACACATACAGTATATAAAAGTTCCCCTTTTCTTCTGCGAGACGCGATGTTTTATTTAAATTTCGCCAGTTACATATTTATAAGCGTCGCGGCGCCCTTTTCCGAAGTGCGAGTAGTGGAGCAAACACCTTCGAACTGCTTATTTGTACAAAGTAGAATCAGCAGAAACAGTAACAGCAACAACAAAATACGTTCTTGTAAGGAACGTATCAAAATGGAAACGGTATTGAACAATACGCAAATCTCCTCCCTTTGTACGTAGAATACCTTTGCATACGTGAGCTCAAAGTCTTCGGGAAAGAAAAACACGTTCAGTATTTCCATTCTTCTGCAAATAAACATTGGTTGGGGGACGAAGAGAAGGCGAAACGGAGCGGTATACATGTTTGCAAATAAATGGGGACAAGTTCGATTTTGTTTACATTTGTAATAGAATTTTTTCATAGACCGATTCATACCTTCTTACAAATACAAACATGCAACGATCAAACAACAATTTCTCAATGCAATAACTTAAATTTATACAAATCCTTCAATTCTCTCACAATTTTACAAATAATTAAAATAAATAAATTTCTAAATTTATAACGAAATATTTACTGATATTTTTCGGCAATATTTTTTTTTATATTTATAGTAAGACTTGACTTTTGTAAGTATCAAAATCATTTTAATAAAATTTTATAAATTCATGTGAATAATTGCAAAATATTTTTTTTTTGGTGGGACAAATGAAATAAAATATAAATTCTCTTTGAAATAGAAACGTCGATGGTTCAAAATGTAGCAAATCGAGGAGCTCGTTAATAATGTCGAGAGTTTGAAATGAAAACGCGAAATTTTCACACCGGAAAATTCATAAACTGAATCGGAATAAATGAAAAAAAAAAAACCGGATCGCATTGAATAAATATTTCGGCGGTGATTGATGCGTGCATCAACAGGAATCAATAAATGTTTCTATCGAACCTGAACCAACAAAAAAGGAAGAAGCAATTTTAACAGGAAATAATAAAACGTCAAGGAATTCGTCAAAAGGAAGCGATCCCTGTGTTCCTTTTTTTTGCCTTTCTTGTCATCTCTTGAGTTCAGGTTTTGTGGGGGAGGTGAGTGTGGTCCATTTTTATATAGTGCAATTCCTATTATTGCTAGCAATTTATACCAGAAAGCAATCGTTTCGATATGTGAAAATCTGCTTTCGCATCCCTTCGGCACCGTTTCCCATTGATTTTCTCTCTTTCCCCCAATTTCCGAATGTCCCACCAAAACCCACTCACTCTCTCTCTCTCTCTCTTGCACACACTCTCTTACGCTACTCGCATCACTTGCTCCGCCACACAGGAACCAATGATGTGCATCATTGACATTCTGGCAAAAATAAAAATGTTGATATATATATATACAGGAGGAAATCATCTATAAAGAATTGGAAAGAGCCAAAATCAAATAATTGTGTATCAGAAAAACAGCAAAGGCAACAAATCAGGAAATTTTATTATCAATCGGCCTTGCACTGATAAAAATGAAACTTCAGCAGCTTTTAAGAATTTGATAAATCTTTTTATGTCGAGATACAATTTCAATATTTCTCTTTAATCAGATTTTTTTCTCTATACTACAACGTTTATAACCATATTTCCAATAGAATTTTTGTTTTGACGACAAAAAATGTTTTCGAAATATTTTCTTAATAATATTAAATTTGTAATACTTTTCAAATAATTTCACTCAATTAGTTATTATTTCACTCA